CTTTATTTGTGAAAATAGAGATGTATTAGACCAGCAATAATACCATCCAGGAGTTACAAAATATTATGCAAAGCTTTCATTACCATTATTCAATAATTCCATGTAGACTGGGGACATGATGTTTTTGGCCTGAGCCTTTTATTAAGCAGTGAAATGGTCCTTATTTTCCATTGAATGCAGAATGCCCTGTAAGGAAATGTTTATCCACTTTTTCCCTATGAATCATAACAAAAGCTTTTATAAATAAATCTCCTTCATTTATGTTTTATACTGGTATGTAATCCCATTTATATTCCATTGTGTTTGAAATTTTGAATATAAAACACAGAATGTTGCAACAGAATGCGAAGGCAAGGGGATTATTATGCTCCACGGTTGACAGATTTTTTAATGCACATCAATTACTCTGTTTTCTCAAGGTCCAATTTACATAAGTTTACTTTAACCTTGATTAAAATACACTTTCTTTGTTTAAGACTCAACAAGAAATTAAAATGCATGCACTACACTACACTAATATTAGCTGCTTCAAATATATTTGACAAAACATATGCTTTATATCCTGTCTTGTGCCTGTTGCTTGCCAGGATGGGCTCCAGCTCCCCCGTGACCCTGAACTGGATAAACAGGCAAGAAAATGGATGGATGGCTATATGCTTCTCTTCAGTACTTAATTAATAAAAGCCACTCCACCAGTCACTGGAGGTTCACTGGCATTCATAAGGGTTACCGTACTGCAGCATATTTATCAGTATACCCTGTCTCCATAGCAACTCAGCAAAGCCTGGCTTCACAAGGGAAGACGTATCAAACCGGCCGGAGCTCTGTACTGCATTAAAAGTAAAACTATGTGCAGTTATTACTCAGTGATTAAATTAGACTCCACACTGGACAGTACACCAGTCCACAACAGGACACCAGACTACAGGCCGAGTGGTACACCAGTCCACAGCGGGACTCCAGGACAGACGGTACTCTAGTCTACTGTGGGACTACAGGCTGGACGGTTCTCCAGTCTACTGCGGGACTCCACATTGGACAGTACACCAGTCCACTGAGGGACTCTAGACTGGACAGTACACCAGTCTACTGTGGGACACCAGACTGAACGGCACACCAGTCCACTGTGGGACTACAGGCTGGACGGTACTCCAGTCCGCTGTGGGACTCCACACTGGACAGTACACCAGACCGCTGTGGGACTCCACACTGGAAAGTACACCAGTCCACAACAGGACACCAGACTACAGGCCGGAGGGTGCACCAGTCTACCAGTAAAGACCCCAGTTAACCTAGACAGCCTGTCCATGGAAGGTGAGAAGAAACTGAAGCACCTTGAGAAAGTCAATGTGGGGAAGTGGAATCAATACAAACGCTATAAAGATGGCATGAAGGCATCAGTGCTAACCAGCATAATCAAAAAGTATTTATATTCTTCATATGACAAGGTTATACTTATTAATTCAACACTGCATGTATGGAGGGGGTTGCAGTGGGGGCATTTTTTAAACCTGCGTGTAGTAACTTGCATCAATAAACTTAGCCTTTGTTTCAAATTTTCATCTCTTAACCTTGCTGGTTGTACAAACTACTCCTTAAACCTTGTAGACTTTCTCTGAAGTTTAATCTCCTTAACTTCAAAATCTAATGAAGAGATTCCTTGAATGTTACTCAGCTGGATTTACTAAGAACTAAGACTTAGTGACCAGGCTGCCAGGAGTTCAGAAAACAGAGCTGATACCCACAATATCACTTTAGCACATAGCATGTCAGCCAGGAGCTGTGCAGAATGGAGAGCAGGTACTGTAGCAGGCTGTGGGAAGGCAAAGAGAAGCTTCTAATATGTGCCTGCACTGTCTGAGGCAGGGTAGAGACAGTGATGCATGATTTGCAGACATTCAAGAGGACATTCTATCCAGTCCAGACAGACTAATCAATACAAAAGAGTCCAGTAATTCTCCACAGCTCAGCAGAACAACAACTCTTTTTAGATGGTGATGAGACCACCTCAATCAGAACAACGATTTCCATTTAAATCATTTGTTTTGTTTGCTTCAAAAACAGTGCTGGCTTAATGGTAAAGAACTCTAACCTGCAATAAAAGTTTCCTGTGCCTTTGAGCACAATGTGAAAAAGGTTATAAATATAAGTACGCCTTTTTCTAAGCAATATTCTAATTGCTTTTTCCAGTTCAGAGTTGCGGGGGAATTGGACCCTCTCCTGGAAGGTGAAATACGCAAGAAGCCAGTCCACTGGAGGGCAATCATGGGAAACCTCAAGGGAAACTCACAGGTATCTTTACTCATAGCCAATTGGTCCATATATTCATCCAGCCAGTACCCAAAAAAAGCCAGGGTACTGCATTACCCTGCACACCGGAGTGCCAGTGCCTGGGAGGTGGCAGGGGTCACCGTGCCAGGCGACAGCCCCGGCCCACTTATCCCATCCGACCCCAGGACGGCGCCCAGCAGCCTGTTGTGTGCTGCTGCTTGGGGGATCCCAGATCCCAGGGGCTGGTGACGGGACCAACGCTGGAACCCGTGATCATACAGCACGCCCTCCGCTCACACAGGTGCCTTCACCAGTTGACCTGCTCAGATGGCCCCCAGATTCAGTGATCTGCACACTCTGAAGCTCTTAGTTCTGCCCAGAGATTATTTTTAGCGATCTGGGAAGCCATCCTATAGCCCTTTCCTTCTGAAGCAATTCTGGTCTAACAGGCTCCAAACTGCCAGAACAATATTTCTGTCCCTTCTCCATCTCTGCCTGCCTGCATGAAAATACTCTTCAGACATCTGAAATATCTCTGGACTTCTGAAATAACTACTTCATGTTAAGATTGTTTTTCTTTACTATAGTATCTGTTAATTTCAGGAAAATATTTTTTTCTACATATTCTCTTTTTTAAAGTGAACTTGATTGTTGAATCAGGAAAATCATATAACAGTAAGGTAAGCACCAGTAAAATCAGAAATAGGAGAGATACAGTATGTTAGGCTCCAGAACCCTATTTACATAAACCTTGCATACAAATGACCTCTTTAGGGTAAACAGCACCACCCTCAAAAATAGTTTATTCAGTATTACCTGACAAGATTAATGCCACAAACTGTATTCTGAGGTGTAATAAAAGTACAGGGGTTTACACGATAACACGAAAAATACAGTACCAAGGAACATTAGCTACTCATTTGCTGAGTTACAAAGAGCCCAGTCAAACACCCATTAATCATATGATTCCTAGGATGACATCATAAAAGTATTTAGTCAAGTAATGCGAGAGAAAATATGTTATCTGAGAAAAAACATTGATTGCTTTTTGACAATATCACTCTGTATCAGGGGGAAAATATACTACAGTATATACTGTACATATTTCAGATGCTCGATAAACAAGAGCTGTAACTCACATACTGTATTTATGGCCAAGATATGAGCTGAGTGAGCTTACTCACTGGCAATAAACAGACTCGGGGTCAGTTTGTCTTTAGGGTTAAGATTCTGAATTATGAGCAACTTGTAAATTTTAATAAGTACGAGCAGATTATACCATTTCGTTAACAACAGCTCTAAACTCACACACACAGTGATGCACACGATCCCCACATTTATTCTTTGACATCACGCCGATATTCTTCACTTCACATTAAAATTCACATTTAAATGGACGGAGGAAATGATTTCAGCAACTTTCCATTTTTGTAATGAACTTTTCTGTAAAAACGTGTATACTTATATCTTTTGATTAGCATGTAAATGGAAATATAACATGAATACTGAGGTTATAAACAACCTTTTCTTCACATTGAAATGCCAACAACATTCACTGATGAAACTAATTGTTCTGTTTGTCACTTCACCATTCTCATGACCTTGCTGGAAGGAATTTCTTACAATTACGTGCTTACACAGTGCCCTTCATTATAGGTGCAATTTACTTCATTAATTGTGATCATGTTTAACTATTCACCCAAAATATAAATCGATATTTATATATGACCTGCATAAATACGGGAAAAAATCATCAGCTAAATTCAACTTAATTGCTCAACTTAAGATAAAAAATATGAACCAATTTTCATCCATGTAGATCAATAAAAATGTAATTTTGACAACAATTCTATACTTTAGAGAATCCTTATAATACTTTCCTTTCATTCAGTAAATACCTAAAAGTAACTATCTCATTCAGTAAAGCTACCCCTTTACTCTGTCCTATAAAAAAAATACTAAACATGTTGTCTTCATTTGCTTTGAAAATTCTTTATACAGTAGGTGTAAAAGAAGGAGGTCAACAAACAATTTTCAATTTCTAAATAATCTGTCCGTCCTGCTCTTAACTGCATCAGGTGCCACAAGGTGGGCACAGGTTAAGGTTATATAGCCACACGGTGAAAAAGCAACTCTCCTATGAATATTACTCCACTGAGTTTGAAAATCGGTGGATTAGTGATGTGGTTTTTAAATTGTACTGTAATTGAGAACAATAAATCTTCCACTGCACAAAGTAAAATATTTAAATTGAATGCTGTTATCACTACAATACAATCTATCAGCTATTCGCTACCCTCTTGGGTCTATTACAGTGATTATTAAGACATGGTGTTATCTACAGTATAAACAAAGTCCACATGAGTAACAAGCTGCAGCATTGTACTGAATTCTAGCTATTTAAAAAATGAAATGAGCAATTCTGTATAATTTTCCAGGCAAAGCTAACACTTTCCCATAAAGGCATATTGTAGATGTCAATACAGTTCTGCTGAAATAGCAGTGGTGGTAGACTAGTGTATCTAAATCTCTTTCCACAACAGAAAAAACCCACCTATTTTGCAAGTGACTCACTGGTCCAAGAACTGCACAATAATAACTACCTCTGCCAAAAAAGAAGTTGTTCTTTTAGCTAAACGGATATTCACAGAACTATGAGTGCAGTATATACAGTACAGTATATATTGCAGTCTGGACATAAGTGTTATAAGAATTGGTGGCCTCCTTACCTCCTCCAGAGCCCATAGTGAGTCTACTAGTGGTTTGATCTTCTTCTGGTTGTAGAGAGAAATTAGTTTGTGCACCACAGTCTTTACCAGGCTGCCTCTGCCTTGTTTAAACAGAAGGTTGAGCAGTGAAAATCCAGCAATGACCTTATTTTCCTCATAGAGCTTAATGGGGTTCACCTTCTCCACTTGCCACCACTGCAGAATGAACAAAAAAACACCAAAAATTGAAATAATTGCTGAAAGGGTTTTTCTTCTTTGCCACTGGGAATATCTCATGTCTGTGCTTGTTAAGTCCGTCTATCTCTATTTAGAATGCAAATCTACGAATTGTTCTCCTAAGTATAATTTTTCAGCACAGATTCAAGAGTCATTTTTTCATAAATGTGTTGCATTTCATCGATGAGAAAGGGTCAAGACGTGTCTCCGCTGTTTAAAAGCAATTTCTAAGCTTATCTGTTACAACCAAAGAAAAGACATGTACAGTCGCTAATTTTATTGATGCCATTGATGTCATTTTATTATTATTCCTGTTTATTAGTATATTGGTTATGACTGGAATCTGCTAGTTAGTGTTGTTTACAGGTATCAATGACAATTTCATCATAAATTATTTGCATGTTGTCAAGACACCCTTCTTAAATCTATCTCAAGTTTATGCATTAATGGTTTAAAGAAGTTAGTTTTTCTAAAAATGTGTTACAGGATGACGACATTTAAGTCAACGCAATTAGCTACAGACAGTGAACAATTTACAATCAGATTAATTCCAGAGCAAAACACAATTAATTTTGACTATTTAGCTATTAGCCTGTTCAATTTTTTTCAATTTCTTTTTTAGAATAAAAAACATTATCGAGGTCACCATACAGGAGGAAAATTTATTTCTAAAAACATTTTTTTCAGGATACCAATATTTACTTTTCTTTCTCACAATGTGTCCAATCCAATAAACAGTATATCTAATTTTGACTCAATTTAAAACAAAAAAAGTTAAGTTATAACCTTATGTGTCTGCTATGATGTTGCCTAAGAGATCGGCTAAGATTAATGTTATGACCATGAGCTCTCCAGAGCACAAACACATTCACACAAGCTATACTGTACATATGACCACTCACATGTGCCTTAAAGCCTTCAGTAATACTTACAGATTTAGCAAAGCTGAAGAAACTTTTTGTTTCACCAGTTACCATGTTTGATGATCCTGAACAAATAAAACAATACAAGTATTTAGTAATTTTGGAGACTGGCATAAAAACATGTAAGTAATTTAAAAAAAAACTGACTTTCAAAACAAACATTATAAAGGGAATGAGAGGACAAAAACAGCATATAAATATTATTCAGTACAGCAGTTTCCAACTACAATCCAGCAACAATCTCTGGCTTCATGCAATATTCTGCTTGTATGTTTAACATTTTACAAATGAGTACTGATAGGATTAATTGTAAAGAAGCATATTAAAAAGAGTAAAGACACTTAACATTCAAAGTATTATAAACAACTCAAAAACACCATAGCTTTATTCATGGTATTGTTTGAATACCATAAATTCACATACTATATCTACTATATATGTGTTCATCATTGTTTTTAGTTCAGTGCATGTTTAAGTTTTATAAATCTATAAATCTAATAATCTTTGTCTGTGACAAGATTTCCTATACATACCATACAGGATGTAAGTTCCCAGTGGTTTTAGGAGGCCTAAGCCTTTTCCAGTGTTTTCTCCACATAAACAGTCCAGGACAATATCTACTCCTTCTGGGGAAATTCTAAAAGACATAGGCATACATAATTATACCTCTTGGTGCTTTAGATTTTATTTATTGAACATGCTATAATTCTTCAACTAAAACAAGGAAATTATATAACACAGTATGACATGATATCTTTTGATTTCCAGAAGACTTTTGATAAGATCTCTCATAAAAGGCTGATGCTCAAATTAAAAGCCATAAGAATCCAGCTACAGTAAATGTGGATCAATAACTGATTAAGAAAAAGGAATCAGCATCATCTTAAGGGGCACAACCTCTAATAGGGCATACAGTATATAATACAGTGGTATGCTCCAGGGATCTATTTCTGCTACTCATCTCTATCAGTCATTAGATTCTGATAAAACATTAGGCAAACAGAAACAGCAGAATGAATTATGGTTTGGGCACATGCATTCGATAAGAAACACACTGATGGTAGGAATTACGGTAGAATATACAAAGGGGATGTAGCCATTTATGTAGAATCTACACACAAAAGAATGCGTGTATATACAGTAGCACAAAGTTTGGAATTTAAAATCGATGATGCTAGGCTCACATTTTACAATGTGCTGGTAAAATCTTAAAAACTTGGTCTGAAGAATGGACTCCAGAGCCAGGCATGATATAAGTCATGCATTAAATATTCAGCAATCATGAAGAATAGAAAAGTATTTCCTCCTACTATGAATACACAAAGGGACAGCTACGAATGAGTCTGTTAGATAAAAGTAATTTTGATTTTTTTTTTCAAAAACAACATCAAAGATAAAGGGCATCTGACTCAGCCTCGGAAAATAGATCTTTACCTACACATCAAACTGTAATTTTACAGGGTTGGGAGTTTATATCCGACGGTGAACTTTTCTGTCTAATGCATTTGTTTTAATGAAAGTATGAGTCAGCTCTTGCTGGCACACAATAGCCATATCAATTGACTCTGTGACCAAGCTGAAGGTTTTTTAAATCTCTTAGAACTGGAAACTTGCCTCAATAACAGTGCAGTACAAATACTGGGAGCTAAACGTAACCTTATAAATCAACTGAAATGCTGGGTAGTATTTTGTATTCCCTTTAAATTGTTCTGGAATTGAACCCAGGGTCCCAGTGATGAGAACTGAACACTGTGCCACCACGCTGCTATTTCAATAATTTCATAAATAATAATTTATCAGAAATCCAAGTTACATTATACCATACACTTACTTACTGATTTGTCGGTTGTTTCTTTTTACCAATTATAGGAGGTACATTTTCAAAGACATCTGAGGCAAAAACCTCTCCTAACAATCTAGTCTATTATATAATGAGAACCACTCCTTACATTGCTTTGCGATAAGGGGTATAGAGTGGTAGAATAATAAATATCTACAGATATATAAAAAGCAAGATCACATGAGAATTCTTTCACTGCAAACTGCATCACATGCTCTTGTGAGGTGGATTAGCATCTTACGGAGTTCTCTGTACAGTGTTGTACTCATCTTGTAAACAAAATTAAATGTAGACAACAAAACGGACTTGGAATGACTTAGATGATCAAGAAATAACACTGTTTCTTTAATATAAGCAGAAGGAAGAATCGCAACTCTACTGTATTAGTATTACTTTACAAGAATGAAAGAGCTGGGATTCGAAGTTGACGATTAAGCAGTCTCCAGCCATTTCTAACAGTGAAAAATGTCTACTCTGCCAAACTACTCTACAGTCTTGTGATATAACGGCTTGTTGTACCAGGAGTGACTTGAAACCAATTTAATTTTACTTAAGCTATGATCCGGAGTGGAATGTGGAGATGAAAAGACTTAATTAATCGCCTTTTCCATTGGATATTCCTTTTTTCCTCAATTCAAGAAAGAACTACATTGCTCAGCACATCCACCCAAGGCTGTTACTGTACCACATCATACAGAACCTGCACAAAAATTCAGTAGTTTTCATCCAGAGAATTTTCCAAATACCTTTCATTTGTATTTCATGCTCCTTTTGTATTTCAATGATATCCCTAAAAATCTTCCAGTCATGGAACTGGGACTGGGATATGGAACTGGGTCCCTTATTTTGCTATAGAATCCAACAGCAAAAAGCTGCAGCTACAGAATTGGCTTCTAGAATAATATGAAATATTAATAACATGAATTGTCTTTATACGAAATTACAAGTTGGATTATCTCCAATATCCTTCAAGAACAACATGACTATTTCCCTGGATTTTGGTGACATTCTAAGACATTCAGATGACTGTAAGTGGAATTACTCTCCCTTATCACAGTGGTCATCCTAAATCCTCAGGAAACCTTTTTAGCATCGTAAGACTAAGCATTTCAAAATGAAGTTAATCCACAGATCATCAGGGTCAGATGCATTCTGTTTCGTATTCTGTGATCAAGTCCCTGCCTTCCTACATAACCATGCTTAATCTTGTCCAAATTTGCAAAAATGCTCCAAATTCACAACATCCCTCACAAACCTAGTGCCAAGATAGATGTCTTTCTCTCTGGTATATCATTCCTTTTCAAATTTTTCAAATTCTTAGGTTTCAGAAATGTATTTTGTACCTATATATATTTTTACCCATAGCATTGCAGTTATTTCACCTGCAAAGACATAGAAAGTAACTATATTCTATGAGGTGATCTTCATTTACTACACGGTACATCTTCTGTTGACACCACATGCACATAAAGTGTGGAAATCAGAAATTAAAATTAATCTGTGACTTCTTGAACTGTTGATGCCCATTTCCACTTTATACAGTATGTGGAAATTTTGAAATGATCACCTTTATTATTTATTTTCCTACACCAGTTCCACGGGCCTTCATTAAGTTAATAAAGGTGTAAGGTATGTATGGAATCCTACGTACAGAATCCTACAAATGCCAACAGAATCTGGTGAAGCCATGATGTAACAAACTACTTAGAAGTGAAATGTTAGGGCTTTGTAAACCAGGTCCTTTGAAAACCATGAGATCTCAGCCATTTCAGATTTTCTGTATATTTCATTCTCCCAAGGAGAAATGCATGTTGCCATGGAGACGAGTGCAATACAAGACCAGAGAAACCAACAGCTAATCACAGCACTTCAACTCTGGGCTTGTATGGTGTGTCGGTGTGGGCAGCATCTCATCAACGTCTCCCTTCATATTCTTTAATTTAACATATTTTTTAATTACCGATCAGGGAACCGATTTCATTTATACCATACAAGTGTTTTTTTTTTAATCTTTTAGAAGATAAATTGTAGGCTTTCACAAAATCTTATGTGCTTCATATTTTTCAGTCATCTTATCTGGAAAATGAGATTGTGGTGTATCTGTATAAATTCTATACAGTATTTCTCCAAACTGCCATATAAAAAAAATCACAGTAGCATATTGTACAGAGAGAGTATATAAACATCATTCCCAGAATCTCTCCTGCATCCCGAAGAAGAATATCAGGGTTCTCACTTTTTAACTTCTTGCACATAATCGGCATTTCTGTCGAACAGGTGGGTGACAGAGTCTTTGATGGCTTCGTGCTTGAAGGATGAGGCTGTCCCAAAAACCATAACGTTGTTTACAGTAGAGCATAGCTGTGCGACAGCTTGGCCCTGGAAAACACACACCAAAGACAACAATTAGCAACTTTTAAAACTGCTTGACAAAAACAAAAAGGATGTTTAACTTCCTATATAGGTGAAGTTAACATACTGCTTGCTACCAAACATAGTACACTCAATAAACTTTAAGAATATACAATTGTACACATAATACTGTAAATAAACAACCTCCATACACTCTGCTATCATCTGTGTTTAATATAGACATGTGCTGCATTTTGATCTTGTTACTGGGCTGTTTGAACAAAAGGCTGTATAAATGTTGTTCAGTTTTTCATTATCCCACTTTTAGATTTTGTTTCTATAGCACAGTAATAAGATTCTTCCAATAATTAACTCACTGATCCTCTGTATTGCCAGTGTAGAGAAACTGATTGAAACTTGCTCAGACTCCTACTATACCTCCCAACCAGTTTTCATATATTCTTGCGCAGAACTGATTCATTTCCGAGATATTATGACTAATATTTTTTTTATGAGCTGGGGGATGCAAATTAAGATCTTATACTGTATATTGGGTGTCACAGAAGAGGTTAATAGCCCATAATCAAAAACAAGCCTGTGTCTTCATCTTAGCAGCAACACTGCCAAGTAGGGTGGTTAGTTTGTTTATGTGCCAGTGTTTGGCATTTTCCCTTGTCAGTTCTTACTGAGCCCTACAAAATGCCAAGCATCCTCAAACAAACAATAACACCTATATTCCTTGCAATTGTGAGTGCTTGTCAAATCCCTACAGTAATTACTTAATCATTTTGAAGGGGAATAATAGTGCATCTTATATCATCTTAATACGTGAAGATAATGCAATACATGCAGTACTGGTTGTATTTTGGAAATCACAACTAAATGTACAGAATTATGTTTACAACAGTTTCAGAAAGTTCATGCATATGTTAACAGGCCATGAATAATATCTTGGATGGTCATTTTAAAAAGCAAAAGAAAGCTAATTCATACAGCAGATATCTAATGCCATCAGAGATATCTTAGTAATAATTCCAAAGCTCTTGGCATGATTAATGTCTCCATCATCACAGACATATCAGCCCAAAAATACTCTACACAACACAAGCTGTTGTGCTATGCACAATAGGTGCTACACACTACTTGGCACAGACTGCTGACCACATTTGGAAAAACCTGAGATCACAGCAGGTTAATACTGTATATGACTGAATAGAAGAAATCGCTGGGAAATTCCCTGCAGAGCAATTACACTGCTAGTTCTCTTTAATTATTAAGATACAGCCTGCTCGACAATATGTTCTACAAAACAGGTTTAAAATCACATCAAAAAGGAGTGTATTACATCCGTGTGTGGGGAGTGTGATGGTTACAATATTTGTGTTATATTTGTGTTATATAGGAAAGTATTGTATTTAGACTGACTGTTGAAATGGGGGTGAAAAAAGAAGAATCTCAAAAATATATGCTCTGCTCTTGAACAAACCATCTGGTTTCAGCCAATTGAAAGAATCAATAGTACACTGTTGTGACATACTGCCAAAGACACTTCAATATCTGCTTCTCCGAAGTACAGAAGAGGAGATTCTCAAACAGAAAGAGAAAGAAATCAAGAATTCTTTGTGACAGAATTACACTGCTTTTAATTATTAAGAGATAAAGGATACCATTATATTGGATTTTATTCTATACAGGTATAACTACTATCTCTTCTGTGTTCATAATAAGTGCTTTTATTACTTTATTATTAATATTTGGATTGTAATCATTGTCCATCATGTGACTAAAAAATGCCTGTTCTATCATCTCGGTAGATGATTCTCATTTTTCTTTAAAATACAGCTCTGCTGTACACTAAAAGTGTATAAGAATTTTGACTTCATGCTCCTATATAAGGTTCTACATCACTTGGCACCTCAGTACCAAGTACACTAATTATCTTCCTACTCCCCACCTCGCAGCCCTTGTTCATCTGACTCTGGTCTCCTCTTTGCCCTCCAAGCTTGACTATATACAATGCATGACAGGTCCTTCTCTTGCTACGTCCAAGAGCTCTGGAATTCTATCCCCAGGGGTATCAGAGAGTCACCTTCCTTGAGTCCTTTCAAATCCAGAGTCAAAACCTTCTTCAGAAGGGCTTTTACTTAATTGATGTCAGTGTCTGCCCCTTTGAATATTCTACTGCACTCTAAGCCCTTGGTTTTCATAATAATAATAATAATAATAATAATAATAATAATAATAATAATAATAATATAAAAGGCTCAATTTGAAATATAAAGCTGTTGTCTAGGTTTTCTCAAAACATGTAAACATGTAATGGTATATTGGGATCAACACCTGACTGTATGCTTCAATTGCCATTCTGTTTTCATATCAGCAGACTCATTACCATGACAACATTTCTTCCATTGATTTTGATTTCATTGCAGACTTACCACACCTCCCCCTGCGGAGTGAACCAGTACGGACATTCCCTCTCGGAGATTGGCCACTTCGAAGAGCATCATGTAGGCAGCCACAAAGTTCATGGAAAAAGCAGCAGCCTCCGGAAAAGTCATGTCGTCGGGGATCTTGTAGACAAATTCAGCGGCAGTGCATACCACTTCCGCCCAGGCATTGTAATTCACAAAAGCCATGACTCGATCTCCTATCTGACAAAAAGCAATCCATTCAGACAGTTCATTCAGGGGGCAGTGAGTGTACAGAGGTCATCATTATGTATCAAAATATTCTGATTTGCTGTATGTTTCACCTGGCTGTTTGAAGCCTTGCAATAACAAATCTTGAGAGAAACTACTACCCCCAAAACAGTCTTCTTTCAGTCTTAATTAATTAATACACTTCCTGAATATAAAATATAATTCACTTAAATACCTACAGTACAAAGCAAGAGGAAAATGTCCTATACAAAACTAGCAAATGTTCCTTTAAAATAAAACATCTACATTTAACAATACAACCACAGATCCATTCAATCCTCACTGAAGTGAGTCTGGTTCCTAAAAGGTTCTTAATGAAGCAATGCTTTAAAGTATCAGGCACCCCGCTGTCTTTACAGACCAGAGGATGGTGTATGGTACTCTGGGCAACAGTAGAGTGGTACTGTACAACAAGTGGCCACAGAGAAACCTAAAATTATAACCTAAAACCATCTGCATTGGATGTGTTCCTTAGCAGAATCATCTGGATGTAATCTGTTGAACATGCTTTCACATAATATTCACAGCTCTCAGTACAGAGACTTTCATTTATTGTCTTAAAACTGTCTAGAATTGAGAGACCCATTTCAGTGTCACAGAATTCTGCTTAAACCAGTATATTGACAGATTTGTATCGTAAAGAACTGTACAGTATATAACAAAGCAAGGAAGGGTACAGTACAAGATTAATATGATGGGTATTTTAAATGCACAAATAACTTAAGAAGCAACATCAAATATTATTTACAGATCTGTCTAAACCAGCCATTTCTAAATTTAAGCATTACTGTAGTTTATGGCTATATATAGTGAATGGCATCACACTAAGACAATCAAGAAACACAGTTACTTTGCTGGATTAATCTGAGTTGCAAATTGCTGATTAATGAACACACATAATCTCATGAGATTAACCATTTTTCTCTGCGGGGTTTAAAGGATATTCCTTTGACACTGTTTTTAGGAGATAAAACACTAGTCACACATAACGAAAATAAGGTGTCTCAATTAAATTATAGTCTGAAGAAATTCACAATCCTTTTTGATGTCTTAAAAACACAGCCTTCATTACCTTGCTAATGACCTCATACCCATAGCAAGGGCCTAGTCCTTGCACATAAACAGTGCTACTTTAATGTGTACAACAGATTATGACAGATTAGTACAGTTTGACCTGTGACTTTGTCCAGTGTTGACCTCTGTGTCACTGTCAGAAATCTCTAAAACAATGACTTGTCTAATGAAGGGAGCACACAAGCAGGTGAATTAGGCTTGTAACTACTCTCTGTAGTAGTCTAAGGGTATAATTGATAATTAACACAAGTTTAAAGACAGAATGGTTTAGCCTGAGGACTCCCCGGTGTCTTAAGCAGTAAGAGTGCTTTCTCAGAGCACAGTTTGAGCTTTGGAATTTATTGATTTTGGAGACATTGCAAGTTTGAGTCTGGTTCATGTTACTAGCTGACTGCCTTCTGAGAAACTCAAGGCTCTCAAGATGTAGCAAATTTCCTCTTCTCTTCAGGTCCGATGCAGTTTGCGGTGTGTCAGAAATGTGGGCATGTCAGATGACCACATCCACATGTCTTGTTCTCTGCTAATGCGTAAATGCTAATTGCTGATGAGTCAAGTTTAAAAACAGTCGTTGAGTCAAACTTCGGTGGGAATTAAAAAAAAAATACATGGAAAATCAATTTTTAAAAATAATGATTTGATCTGTCGATATCAAACTTTATAAGGTTTTTAGTTGCCTCAATTTCATTCGACTGAGATAGAAATGTTGAAAAAACTGACAGGCAATGACCAAGGTTTTATACTATTGAAGGTACTTGATAGTCAAGAGGGTTTTTCAAGTTATCAGCATTAGCAGTTGTTCTGTGATTGTAGGGGAAATGTTTACAATCAAAGAGAATATTTGCTCTGTTCTTTTTTTATTCCCTTGATATACACAGCATTTTAAAATCATAAGAAATGAAATGAAATTAAATTCTTAAATTAAATCATTTGAGGCTTATACTGTATCAAACCCATGGCGATGATGTGCTGATTGTTGGATATATTGTGATCTTCGTATGTTGTAACAGTACAAATACCTGGTATCTCTAATACGATGATGAACTTCACATACACTTGAGCGTCTGTACACATATTTTGTATGCACAGAAAGAAAGCTACTTTTGCATTTAATTGACTGATTTTGCCAAGATGAAGCCAAAAGAGTCATACAGTATGTTCTTGCAAAAAACTACATTGTTTTTAATTATCAGTGTTTTAAAATAATTTTAAAACTGGTTTTAAAAATGATCCCTGCTTCTTGAAACTGACCATTACTGCTCTTCTTATATAGAAAGGGAATAAATGTTAATGAATATCCCTCAGAGAGAGGCTTCCAAGAAGATACTGGAATAATTAAATCTGTTTAGTGCCAATAACTACAGAAACAACTCTGTAATTACCAATAAAAGTTCTAAGGTCATATACTGCTTCTTTAGTAAAATCCTTATCTGTTACCATGCATGGAAGGAAAATGCCTTTTTAATAATGAAAACTCTAATAGAAAGAGAAAAGCCCAATGAATTTGTGATAGTGAGCTAATAGCAGCGCCATCATAGCTCTTCATTAAATATGTTAAATAGCACTTCATTTGCTTAATTTAGATACTGAATAGGAAGCTAGAATTTGTAGTCGTTTGCGAAAGAAAAAAACTTAGTGTGAATCATAGCATGAATAATTCTAACACAAGGCATCCAAGTCTTACGCAGTAATGACTGAAGGTGTCAGAAATCCATTTTTTTAAGATCAATGGAGAATAATTTTCAGCAGTGATGGAGTACTTTGTGTTTTATACAATGTTGCTTCAAGGAACTACTGTATATCATCATGCAGTTGTTTGCAAGATATAGACTGTTTTCAACACACAATACGATGCATGGAAAGAGTTTTTTTTCTGTTTTATTTCCACTCCTTTCCACAGATTCTGCTCGAAGAAAAATTATGATGACACAGAATAGTGGCAAAATGTTTTTTTTTTCATTATTGGCAAATCTTCATTAACTTAAAGTATGAGGCATTTGTAGGATTTTTCCTTTTGTGCTTGTTCCAAAAATCATGTGAACTGCATCTTTTAGTAGTCCAATTCTGAATCTTATTTTGCATGGAAAGCTTATGCATAAAGCATAGAGACCCAGCTCTCAATCATAAAACGTTTTTGTGTCATCATTTAATTACTGTACCACACAATGCTTCAAAATTAATCCTGGTAAATTTGTATTTTGTAGTACAAAAAGAATCCTTGGATTTTAACAAATGTCCAGATTTAATCTGATTATATTAAAGACAAAGTACATGTGACTATGAGTAAATTAAATTTGATTGGTAAATGTGATGGATTAGATCATATAATTCTTCAAACTGGCTGCTCATCTGCAGTTTACCCTGATTTTTGTGGACATATTTTTGAAGGTACAGACCACTGTGGATTAAAGTTTACCAATCTCGGTTTTTTTCTCTCCCTACAGTCAACATTGTTAGAACTGCAGAAAATATTAGTGGAGGTGAAGAGAAACATATATACTGTACATATTCCAATTCCTGATTGCACATACAATGTCTGACTTTCACATAGTAGTGTATATCTGTATATGCATGCCAAAAGACTTGACGCCTGTTTGCCTTTTTCCCCAAGGGAAAGGGTATGAACCGTGGATTTCTGGATTGGTGGATTGAATAGCCTGCTCAGAAATCAATTCTGTTTGATTTCTTTAGCAACAGTCATCTGACTAAGACTTTTCAATTTGAACTCTTATCTTTCTGCAGTATGTTCTGAACATAATTTAAGCGAAGTCCTGAATCACAGCTTAATGGCTTTAATAAAACATCCTAATCCTGTAATTAAATCCCCATCTCTTGACCCACTTCCCTTCTTCAATACTTTTTAAGTTCTTAAATTAATTTGAAAGTTTTTTTTATTATTAGAGTGGATTTATCAGAAAATTAAATACAAATTCCCACTTTAAATATATCATATTTAGTACTGTAATGACAATATTTGATTAATTGTGTGATTTTAAATATGCACACCAATTTAAAATTAGTTAAAGGAAACAGAAGTGGAAAAAGTGTGTCAAATCTGAATGTGAGATGAGCTTTGCAATTTAATTTTTGTCATAATTTCTTTTTTCATCACATTCTAAAATGTAATATTTCTTAGAGACATTGGCTCTTTATTTCAACTCTTACATGCTTGCCAGAAATGTTTGCTGTTGCAATAAGCCCAACTAACAGATTTGTGTAAAAAATACGTTTTGGCTTTTTACTCACCTCAAATCCCTTGGTATTTTCTCCTAGAGTTTCAACTATCCCAGAGCACTCAAATCCCGGAACAAGAGGCGTTTTAGGAGGGTTATCGATGTTTCCTTGCCGAACCATCAAGTCTAAAAAGTTCAAGCCACTATAAGAAAGAAAAATCAGATTGCTCACAACTTCAAAATCCAGCACAAGCGGCACTCACCCTGCACAGACCAAGAGAGCACTAGTGCAGAAGTGATAGCCCATTATCACAGTCTCCTAGAAGCTGCCTTCTGAAATTATGATGATGCAGGCCTAGTTACCCATGTCCAGAGACCCACAGCATGGATACAGCCTTTTACAACAGAGAGAGACATTTCTGCCAGAACATCATCCATAGAAGCCTCATCAACACATTTCGCAGTACTTACAGTACTGGATGCCTAATTTTGAAGAGCAACTCATTACCTGTGCATATTATTATTACCTTATTATTACAATTTATTAAACAATTTACAGCTAAGATGGCATTTGAATGCTATTAAAAAAAGCTAAATGAAGTGATGCGTGGACAAAATCAACAATTTTAGTACAGGTCATAATTATTTGCACCTTTTACTGTACTTTGCCATTCAGATGCATATGTATTTTCCCATTTCTAACTGAGATTCTACAGCACTTTGCATTACTCCCAGCCAATTAAGAAAGTTACAATTCCAAGGACACTGTGGGATACAGTGGAAAATGTGAGAAAAAATATATGATGATAATAGCATTCTTTGTTGCAGAATGGTAACTAACTCTTACCATTGAACCACACGCTGCTTATAGAACAAAGCATTCTAAAGCTTAATGATCACAAAGACTAATGAATTTACCAATAGTAAATCCCCTATTACTCGATGTGAGCCAAGTTTTCCTTGTAAAACCTATGTGTGAGAATCCATGGACAATGGATTACTGTTTATTACCATCAGCGCTCACAGCGAAGCACTGGAGCGCATTGCAAGCATCTTCATGTAGATGGGGATACATAAAAAACAAATCACAAACCTTTAGAGGGAATGTAGTGTATGCAATATTGCTGTCCTCTCTCTCGGAGAGAAAACCAAGGCATTCATACATGCTGTAAACTCACAGTTCCCTTAGAATGATGGGAATCTCACTTCACTCAAGACTCAATTATATTTTCTGCTAATGTTCTTGAGTTGTTAGTGATTAAGTGATGTCCTGCAATCAAAATTGAACTTCTCAGCGTCTCTGGGTTTCTACTGAAATCACTGACATCCAAACCTCACTGTCTCTGTATCAGATTAAACAGTTTTTTAACTATTTGGGGGGTGGGGTTAATACTGCAAGCATTGTCTGACATTTGCAAAATTGATTTTCCCATTACAGAAAAAAACAGATAAACGTATCGATTGAAAACTACAGTAGCATACCGAGTGTCAAAGCGAGATCTGCGCTTTGTACAAGGTAAACTAACATGAGCTCATTATCGAAACAGCATAACTGCAGCACGTACAGTATGGATCAGCGATTCAAAACAAAATGCTGGCTTTTATTGGAGATGTTTTGCACAGCGCAGGTTATGGATGATAAGCGTACACTTGGGACGTGAACGAAAATCAAAGACATCAGAAACATTCTTAAGTCTTTTTTATTACCTGTGCTACTATTTTCAAGAGATCTATTGAAAAAAAACAATTTAATTACGTAACAATTTGTTAGGATTAGAATATTGTAGCAATTGTATTTATTTGGAACTTCGGGAGCACTGGAAAAATCACGTGTTTTAGCGCATAAATTCGTAAAAGAATGCTACCAGTCCACAAAGATTCCGTATGCTACTGTAAGTATATTGGCACTGGTTACATACAATATTTCTGTCCTTTCCCTTCGGCGCTCTAACCGTATTTTCAATGATTATATTCTAACTTGAAATTTCTATACATATTGTAACACATCCTTGAACGTTAATGAATACTGTACTCCGGAACGAAGACAAGGTACATCTCTAATTTACCCTTACAGCCCTATACAACCTGCATAAAGAATGTGTTGTTTGCGGGCGTGGTGGTATAATTCTATTCTTTCCCCCACATGTGGACTCCTTCTATTATATTATTAGGAAGGATGTTCAATTTTAAAGTTAATTAACCTGCGACCATCCATTTCCAATGTCATTTCGCGTCTATCGGGTACAAGTACATGCGCAAACTTCGGAGTTGCTCCGATAGTGGTGCAGCCGCAGGAGCCGCTAACCTGTGGTGCCGAGCGCACAGTTACAGCACGCCGGTTACCTGTTAAACGACGACTATGAGAGTAAAACGCTGCAAGTGTTGTTGATTTTCTGTGTGGACTTGAAATAATTCAATCGGATTACCAGGCTTTGACGCGGATTTTGACCTCCCCTTCCTGAGGCTCGGGCATCGGCTTCTTGGTGACCCGGAGTTTGTTAAGCCCCCCGAAGCCCGTCAGCACCACGGCTCGCATCTCCTTAGTGTCTGCAGCCCCAAGGACAGTGTCCTGCTCCTTGCCTCCATTCTTCTCTATCATATGCTCCGTCTCTTCCGTTTTCTCCGGTCCTTCCTTTGCCATGTCTACTATGGGCTTCAGAAAATAGAAAAGATGCTCAGGAACCACTGGGCTCCTGCAGCTGCTATGGTATTCCTTTGTGCTCACCGCAATACTCCTCGGCTGTAGCGCACAGAATGAATGTGTACAATGGCTGAACGGATTTATTCCTCCTCTCAGATACAGCAATTTACCGTAAAACTGAAGATAAATGTGCAGGTCAAAAACGCACCTACCACCTCAAGAGAATCAAGACGAAACATCAGTCTTTTGTCTCCCATGTGGAAATTTAACATCATTTTCATTAGCTGCTCAAATATCGTAGTACAATAGTACGTCAGTTCTGTCTAGGCGTTTTTCCCATAGTCAGAACTGCCGTTTTTTTTCCAGCTTACACGTTACAGAGTACGGTTCTGCAAAAACACAACATTGTGCCCAACTGTATAGTTTCTAGTCTGCGTTTTTCGTTTTGCACCGGTTTTATCTGTCCAAAACGTCAAGTTGTCTTTATTATTGTGACGCTTGAATGTATTTGAATGCATGACATTGGCAGGTTCGGAAACCACAATTTGATGTTTTTCTACCCAAGGCACCATGGATTAAAATTGCCATTAATTAGGGATTTCTAGTGGAGTGATAGGGATATTAAACAGGTGTGCTCTTATAGGCATGAACCAGTTCCTAGACTGCATTTTACATCTCTCATTCACTATTAAGTAAACAACATACTAATCTATTTCAATATAATGAATGTTATAATGAATCAATTAAATGAATGTTGCCCTTAATGCCTCACTAGATAGTATCAAAAAAATATGTGGCACACTGGAAAAATAAAATCGAGCAAAAAATAGCACCAAATGTACACAGAGGGGCTGAGTGCAGCTTATCTTTGTTCAATTGCAGTATTACTACTAGTAGTTAAGCTTACTGTTGTTCTCAAAAGAGCTACATCCCTGACAGAACTCATCATCACTAAGTGATGCCTATGGCAGCAAGTCTTTCAGCCCAGCGAGGCTGTTTCCATAGCAACGCCATTAACTAAATAAATATGGGCCCACGCATCCGCACCTAGGCCGAGAGACTCAGAATATAGGTGCATGGTGAAGTCTTGTAACATACTTGTACATCACGTACAATAAACCTGTCCGATGTCAAAGCTCAAAGAGCATCTGAGCCTGAATTTGGACTTTTATCTCCATTTGCCTAATGTTATCAACAGTAGGAAAAATGTTTCTACAAAAAGTTAGGCAGACTGAAGAAAGTCAAGTGTCTCATCCTAAATGTATTTACAGTGTATACTGTAAGAGAGCAGTAGGTGGAGACAAGATGGCAGCTGTTGTCTTAATTATCTTCCTCAGGAAATGGTGGGGCATGACCTGCCATCCTCCGTCACCTGACCAGTTGAAGCACAACAACTGGTGAAGTGACACTTCAAAACCTGGAAGTGGGGGCCTCCAGGGTTGTGCATCTGCAATCTGGAGCCTGAGCATGGTGCCAGTGGAAGGATGAGCTGACAGAATGACCAACCAATTGGCATGCTGTGGCGTGTGAGTTCTGGGCAAGAGGTTTAGATTTTTAGAGAGACAGTATTGTGGTTATGTGGTTAACGCTGCCTGGCTTTAGAGAAAGGGATCTTAATGGACAGCTCAGGCTCAAATAAGAGGTTGTGTTTTGTTTTTTTTCCTTACACTGTAAAAATAAGAGGGCACCGTTTTGATCTTATGGGTGCATCTGTGCGTCTGCTCTACAGAAATCCACCTCTTTAAAATGTGCCCGCCACAGCACCCTGCTCCTGAGTATATCACAATACATACAGTACCATCTAAAAGACCTTAGACAGCAAAGTCAAAACTTAGTTTTACTTTATAATGTTTTCAGTTTGTACTGGTGATTATGAAATTAATCTGCTATCTACTCGTACCACAGAGCTGGGTCTCATCAGCCTATTGGTCCCATTTTCTTCTCTAGTTTCTCCCACTCAGAATGAGCTGGATCAGTAGCTGCTGTCAGTGTCTGGAAATTTATTTCACACAGATTTTCAAAATGAAAAATAAAACATTCAGGGTCAGCACTTTTGTTTTTCTCCATCAGGGCACTAATCCCGAGACTCCACCCCAGAGTAACGTGGCTTCAGGGATCTGAGCACACAAAAACTCACGATAGCAACACTGAAGTGTCTCTTTATTGCAGAGATTGTAAAGGTATTACAACAGAAGGACTCTGAAATATCCTCTGTCACACTGCTACCAAAACCCAATTGCCCAATTAATGATGTGAGGCTCCTAATATCTCCGAACGTTACTCATTGCATCTGTGCAAGACTGTGCACCTTTAAGTAAAATGGTTAATTATCCCTTTAATGGCCAATATTCTAATTACCTCCCAGTGCACTCAATTACAGGTGATAGTCACCGCCTTGTTGTCCTCTGGCAAGCTGGCTGAGAATACAGTCTCTCCATTTTCCAGCCTGCTGCATACACACGTATTTAATTATGGGTAGAAAATTAGCATCAGGAATGGATCAGTTACACCTGTGCACTCTCAACACAAAGTATGAGTGTGCAGCCAAATAAAGATGGAAATGACAGAGCTGTATAGGGTGCCAGCCATAAAAAATGCAAATAGATTATAAACGCCCTGCATTTTATAAATAATGAAAATACTAGAACCATTTCCAGAAAACAGATATTTAACAAATTAAAACTGCATTGAAGGATATGTAAACGTATCACTGCTATCTTGTGATCATCTTCACATTTTTGTGCACCAAAATACAAAGAAATATTTACTAACGAGTTTCAATTTAAGCATCTGAAACCTATTACACATTATCAGTCCATTAAGAACTGAGAGAATCCCCTACCAGCCCTTAAAGCAAAATGATGACCACAGCACAAGAGCCTATAGTAGATCTGAAGTGGATTTTGAGGAACCTGGAAAATGATTATAGCTTACTCCTCGTTTCTAGATTGTGCTGGAATTGAGGTAGTGGGTTGCTTACATCAAAGCCCACTTCAAACCCCGGCTTCCTTCCAAGTGCTAAGACTGCAAGAAGCAAAGCCCATGTTGCTGTCAGTCCCCAAATTACATATGATTTGCCAGACTCTGTGTCCAGGTAGGTAAAGAAATGAATGATCCCAGGTGAACCAGGAATGGCCAGTGAAAAGTGGTGAGCTGGATTTATAAAGTAGTCCAAAGGAACAGTAAAGACATCGCTCACTTCTTCAGGGTTTGGCTGAACCTGGAAAGAATCCTCAATGAATGCCACTACGGGCGTCACAATGAATTTCTGAAAAACAAAACAATTTAATAAAGGCAGTGATCTATTCAAATATTAAAAAGATAAACAGTTTTCCCGCTGATAAAAAAAATATTAGAACCGCTTAATAAATTCCATCAAGACTTCTCGACAACTGTGATCTGAGATCCAGCTAACAAAGCAGTCTGTACCAACTGTGGTTCGGACTATGTCAGCTTTAACAATAAGTTAAAAGATATGCTTCCTGTCTATCTGGATCTGTGTGCTACAGGTGGTGCCAGTCGGTTGTATGGACTGCAAAGTTATAAAGGACAGATGTACAAAAATACTAATACTGAGTTTTACATAAAAGATACCACCCTCCATTTTTATGAATACTTTATTCAAGTGTCTTACTCTGCAGAACCATTCTCACAACATGTCTGCATTAAGTAGTAAATGTGAATCGCAGACACCATTTCTGCCAACGCTGGTACATCACAGGTGGAAACACTAGGAAAACCACAAAACAAAAGAAACTGTCACTGTGCAAAAAAAATGAATGTGTTCCTTAAGACAACAGTGAAGAGTAACTGCACTGAATAGCTCACTTGTCTGAGGAAATCAATCATTATTTATAATAACAGGTGATTACCTTTGTCATAACTGGAAAAAGCCTGCAGACAACCTCGACCTGATCAGGTACCAATCCTATCTCCTCTCTAGTCTCTCTCAGTGCTGTGTCGATCTCATTGTGGTCCTTAGGTTCATACTTCCCACCTGGAAAGCACACTTCACCACCACTGGTGTTTAGCTAAGAGAAAAGAGGTGTTACCAAATTATTGGATTGGGTTAGTGAATTTCAGTGCCACTCTACAAATAAATCCTTGCATGTGTATCTATTTAAGAAGAAAATGAGTTCTTAATTCATTAAATTCTCTTGCACAATTTTTGAGTATGACACTGTTAAGCAAATCTCATAAAAAGGATTTAAGACTTTATATGTAAAAAACAAAATGGAATTTATTTTTTCTTTAAATCTCTTTAATAGATGAGTTAGTTATCAGTGACCTTTACATAATAGGCAATATAAATGTGGACATTAATTTCTGTAATGTTATTATCGCAATGAAGTGCACTCTAAAATTCATTGCTCAAAGGCTTCAAATGTGCATCTCCAAACCTCACAAATGGTAGCAATTCCAAAATACTATTTGGAATAATATCTTGGAATTATTGTAACTAGCAATTATAATGACAAAATTAAATGAGGTACTCTTGCAATATCATAAAACGAAAATAACACATCAAGTACTAGTTTTTAACAATGTAGTCGTGGGAATTTACACGGGACAATTCACTCTCCGTAAGGATACTTTTATTTATTTTTTTAATATTTAAAAACGTCTCACTAACCTGGAATGACCGAACAGTCATTAGTACATGTAGTTCCCCATTTTTCACAAACAATGGAATCAGTACTGATGCTTTCTGCTTTGATGACTGGTAAGAAAAACTGTTTCCAATTTCAAAACGTTTCAGAATGGTCTTAATCCTTTCTTTAACGTTCATCCTACAGAGACAGGAGTCTCGTGTTAATCATTATCACACTTATCGAACCAGAAGTCCATGTCCGTGAAAGCTTTGCCTCACCTTGCGGTTTTAACTGGTAGTGCGTATTAGTTCATTTTCAATGTAACTGTGAGAACTCAAACCATTATGCTATTATAGTTAAGTTATAAACGTCAATAATATCACTCTGGAAGCGTATTTATGCCCAAAGTACCCCTAACATCGCACATACAGAAATGAAGCTACTCCAACATTGAAGTGTCGAGCCCAAGAATTGTATTAGGCGCTTTACAACGATGTTAAGAAAATGTACATATTTAGGAATTTTAAAGAAGAATAATTACATGAATCTGGGTTATTAAGCATTAAATAACAAAGTAAAAAGATTTTAAGAAGACCTAATATTAATTTTGATTCGTTGTATAAATTCAATTCACAGCTGCTTTAAATAAATTCAATTGGAATGCGAATAAATCCATTACATTTATGGAGAAGATTTTATAACCGTGTGCTATTTTTTAAAATCAGTATGCATGCATCATACACGTTCGCGTTCACAAGGTGTACAATACAAAAAGAACATCCAAATTCAGCCCATGTCAACTTAGCACTAATATCGAAGAAGATCTGGAAGTATTCGAGATTCCTACATTTGCAATTCAAGACACCTAAACACCAGTATTTTAATATTGTAAATAATTCACGTACTATCCCACTGGGCCGAATTTGTCTTTTCTTTTTTTAAAACAGTATTAATTCCACAGCCAGAGCAAGGTGTTTGTACTGCCTTGCATTCCGTAGAGACGGTTCCTTAACAGGAAATAAAAACGCGTACTGGGACCTACCTGGAGCAAACCTGAAGAGGTGAGAGAAAACAGGGAAAAGCTACTTTAGCCTGGACATCTACAATTGAACTTCAGTCTCAGTAAGGTGGGGGCATATTTCGAGCAGAGCTTTCAAAACTGTACCTCAACTAAAGGAATACAGAAAAGGCAAATGCAATATGTTAGTGAGCCCTACAGAAGAACCATAAAGCTAAAAACTGAGTGAGCTGTTGGAAAGGAAACAGAAATAAGTGGCCAACTAAACATGGCTCCATCTGTTGGATGAAGAAGGTAGTTTCCTATTTTAAAAATGGAAAAAAATACATTACACTAATGGCACATATTATAAAAACCATGAACACAGCAAACTGGAATAATATAAACGCAGCACTACGAATGTTTTTTTTTCACCTCCTGCTTGTCCTTTGTATGTATCTTATATTTGTTAACGTAAATAAGCACTTTTCCCCTTTTAATCTTAATTTCACGCTGTTTCAGTAAACCAATTTGAGTAAAACTGGTTGTAATCTGTAAACAAGTAATCTGGTTGTAAAGCTAAATCATCTAACCAAAACTAACCCGATAAATTATCAGAAATGAATTTATCGGGTTAATTTTGTTTAGATGATTTAGCTTTACAACCAGATTTTAAAACAGACTAATGATTAACATCTTAATCTCTCTTCCATTCTGCACTAGACACATCTACTGATTCAGCAAAATCACTTCCGGTATCTCATTACTTCCTGTGTAAACAATCACTTCCTCCCACAATTTAAAGCTATCGTTCGCTCATTTTTCTCGTTTTATGTTCTGTCACGGGGAATGCTGTATGTCAGATCTGTATTTACATATAAACACATTAATAGATTAAATTAATTAAAAGACACATTCCCGGTCATAGCGCTAGAAGGTTACACAGGTTTCCATAAGAAGACAGGTTTAATTGTGTTTACTAACAGTGAGTTGGAGCAGCTCAGTTATCCCACACAGCTAGTGCTTTATGGTTCTCTTCTGTAGTAGTCACGTATGCTGTAAAATGTGAGGACTCCAAGAAATGTAAGATATCTTAAAACTATGAGAAAAGGCCATAGCAGCTTCAGAATAGGTCAGAAATTAAACATGATGTGTTTACTTTCCTTGGTCAGAAGGTTAACATTTGACCTGCGATAGAATTGTGTTTGGGAATTTATTAGATAAAAGCAGAATCATCGAAGAACAAGCAAAAAAGTGAAGGACAAAAATAAGAAGCATTCACATCTGAGAGATAATGGCAGCCTGAGACAAAACTTATTGAAAACTGAGAAAAATATTTTAAAGAATGTCCATCTTATATCTGATATGCTCTAGTCTATAAAACTCATCCACACTGATAAATGTACTGAGATTTCTGAAACTGAAACCTTACATTCAAGTGGTAAAAAAAGGTGAGTTCGAAGGCCATAGCTGTGAAAGCTCAGTAGGTTATACTTAAGAAAACACAAAGACTTTCTGAAAACTGACCACAATGAAAGTGACTTGCAACATAATCTGTACTTGGATCCGATACAATTTTAATACTATTGCACCTAAAGACAACAAAAGTATGTAGGAGACTCCTGTATTACTAGAGTATTAGTGTTCAAAAAAACCTTCTGGGAACACCAGATACTCCATAACCTAAAGCATACAGACCATTCAACCAAACAATTTAAATTGTCATCCTATTTTTAAGTTTTTCAATTGCTAAAAACCATCATGCTTAGGCTATATTACTTAGTATTCAGTAAAGAACAAAACAAAATTAATAAATTAAGGTGTATGCTGCACATTGGTGGTGATGGAGGGGAGTCCCCATTGCCTGTAAAGCACTTTGACTGGAGTGTCCAGAAAAGCACTATATAAGTGTAAGCAATTATTATAATTATAATTAAATGTGGTGAAACCAACAAATTAAAAAAATATTGACTACAAATTCTTAATTGCTATAATGTTGGTAAATAATAAAGAGATTGCCTTTTCATTTTTAAAGTTTGAAACCTTTACTGTTTACAACTGTGTACAACAAGATTACAACTGTGAACATTTTGCACACTGATGTTGCACACTGATGTTATTCAAAACATTCCAACCTAATGCTTTTAGGTCAACATACAATTATGATTAATTTCTTAAACTTATAAGTTCCTACAGCAAAACAATATCCAAATCATTCTACAAAGACCTACAAAAGTCTGCTCAATTACCGATTAAAACACAAAATGACAGTTTTATTGAATTTATTATAAATGGTCATATGTTAAGACAAAAGTCAATGAAATCCCTGTTGCACTGACAACTGAATGTAGCTTTTGAAATTAAAGCACAACTGTCACACACCATAAAGATGCAGCATAAAAAGACAACCATTAAATAATCATAATCTGCAAGAATTGAGGTTTGAGAATCTAAAAGGTGTATTTATTACATTTTAAAGCACAACCCTTTATATATATATGATTTCAGTCCCTGCCATAAACCACTCTTTCAAGATGACAGTTCTTTTGAACTAGCAGAATCACAGAAAAACAGTAACAGCCAAAACCTTTCAGAAGTTTTTCTTTAAACAAAAAGTTCCTCAGATTAAATGTGTTAATGATGGCTATGTTTTCCTTTTCCTCTTCTTTGTGTTCAGCCATCCAATGTCCACTCCATGGTCTAGAAGGAAATTATGTCCCAGCCACCTGCATTTCTTTGTCTTATTGACTAGGGACAGCAGTAAATATTCTGAGTCCGTGCATTGCTTTAATTTCATCTTTGAGTGCCTACAGAAAGAAAGGCAGGTGTGAGTCCAAGCATCTCTCTTGGTAAAACAGTTCTGTAAAATATATATATATTTTTCAATCATGACAAAAACAGGTTAGTCCTTAATATATTTTTGCTGAACATACTCAATGCCTGTCTTAATTACGTAAACTGTAATTATGGACATTTAATAATTAAAAAGAAATGAAACAATACCTCGTTGATTAGCTGATGTTGCTGCACTGTTCTTTTCCCTTTAAATTCATGTGATTCAACGTGTACTTCATACATGGCCCCACAGCCACCTAAGAAACATTGCACATAAATCCTTTACATAAAACCATAGCCAGCCTCTTAGTTGCATAATGTCATTAACAGGTCTACTCTAAAACGGAGCTGTTTCTTTTTACTAACTGAAAATCATTTTCAACACCGCTGAGGAAATAAATTTAAACTAAGTCACTATCTGCTCATCAAGACACCACAAGAAATGAAACAGCATTTAACACCTCAACGTGAAATGAAAGAAATCATGAAAAAAAAAACATGAAAAGCCACTACAATTGTGTGTTATTTTGTATTGCACAGGGATACTAACCTGAAATATCGACTACTTTAAGAGACTTGGCTTCAGGGAATTGTTCTTTCAGTATCTGTATGATTCGTTGCTCTCCATCTGTCTGGGATGCCATAGTTCGTTGTATTTGCCCAGTTATTAACAGAGTCTGTAACAACAGGTGAAATACTGCCGTTAAGTCCTGTTGCTGTATCGATAACACGTTAAGCAAAAACAGCATTCCACACTACTTTTTATATTTTAACATAATTAAAGCATTTAAGTCGTAGAACACGGATAGCCACTTAAATTCGTATTATTAATAATCCGTTCTGTTTTACAATGCATTCAAAATTTAAATTTAGTAGCACTAAATCACTAAAAATCTATCACTAAGAAAAGTATCACTATTTGACGTAAGGATATTACTTAACTTGTAACTTACTTCACTCTTCCGAAGTAGTCTGGCAAATGACATAATTGAAATCATCGTGAAGTCCCAGAGGATACGTTTGTATATTTAAATTGCCACAAAATAGAGATAAGTAATATAGCAAATACTAATCCATCTATTTCGTTCAGTCAAGTGTCTCAAAGTCACTTCTCCGCCGTGCAGTCCCATTATTATGACGTCATTACCCATCTTTCTCCACTGCGCGATTTGTAAAAATCTTGTTGCTCTCTGCTGCCTCAGATGGAGAACTGCATTTTTTTACACAGTCATCGTGAGCATCATCATATTTTTTCTTGACCTCCAAATAATACCTCTCTAATACCTCAGTGGTGTAAAAAAGGGCCAACATCAGCGACAAACATTTCTAAGATACATTACAATTTCTTAAAGTATTCTTATTCAAATTGAATTTAACACATTACTTTTAAAATAATTCAAGTCAAACAACGGTAAATACTGAAATTCTCTTTAGTCCTGTGTAAACTGAATATTGATTCTCAAGACTAAAACATACAGTATATATGAAATATAGTGTAACCTCACATTTGTTTTGTTTCATATTATAAGCTCTAAACATATTTCAGAATTCTATACATTCATAAAAATATGTATTTAAGGTCTACTTTTTTCAATTATTGAAACAGAACTGTTATATAAAAATGAACAAGGTTGTAACAGTTTTACAACCAAAACGAGGTAAGTTATTCAAACTTTGTACATAAAAGAATTACAATTCAGGTAGAAAAATAAAACATTACAAACTACAAGTTTCACAGCACAATAGTACAGACATGCAGATTCACAGTGGTTTTCAGCTTTAAATGGTAAAGTTTTCATGAGCCTTCAGAATGCAGCTTTTTCCATTTTTGTTTCAAACTCTGTACTTCTGTTTTCCTCGCTCACTTAGTAAACAAATGTGCTGTAAAAATGGAAAGTATCATTAAACATTTGTAATGAACATGTGCAGCCAGTGATCTCAAATTATAAAAATTGGAACCACATAAATCTGCTTGCTCACTGTCAACTTCTTTATCAGGAAAAGCATTGAAAAATGCATTCAAGAAATAAACAGTTTTAAGGAAATAAATTAGATTTGGCCTACAACTATGATTTTATATTTTCATGGATCCAGTTCCATAGAATATTAAAAAATGCTTTAAAACTTTAAAAAAAGTATTAAAAAATGCTTTAAAAACGATCCACCATTTCTTACACTAAACAAATAGGTGTATTCAGCTGACCTTGAGTTTTTTTTCCTTTAAAAAACATAATTGTCATTTGTGTCAGCACTCCTCTCACAGTGAGATCCCTTTATCCATACGCTACGATGATGTACAATATCATAATGATGTAGAGCATGTTCAGCACTGACTTGAGTGGAGGCACACCCCTCACTGATATCAATGATTCACATAGAGCCAAGACAGAGCCCTGGCGGCCAACTAATACCAGCCTTTCCCCAGCTGTGCTTAATCAATTATTTTCTGCCACTTGCTAAATTCCATTCATAATCATAGTTTTTTATTGAAAAAGTCATATAACCATTGTCTAATACAGGAGTTGGCAACCCTGGTACTCACATGCCAAGTTCCAGGACGAAATCTGATCAGAACCTGGAAAATACAGGTGATTGGACTTCCGATCCACTTAATTGGTTTGATTAAGTCATCCAATGTGCAATTAAATTAAAACTAGGAGAAAATGTGGCATTTGATATCAGGTGCCTACACCTAATAATTAAACATACAAATATCTATTAACCATGTCATTCATGGCCAGATATATTCCAGGACACTATATAGAGTTAAAAATTGGTTCACAACAGCTGAGGAATATGGTCCACACCGCTAATCCAGTTACAGCCAGTCACAAAAAACACATACAGTAGGAGTTTTTCTATGTATGTCTACTGAAACAATACTTACACTAAGATCTCTAAAATATTCATTGTAGTCAAGAGCATATCCTACAAAGAATTTGTCAGGAATTTCAAAGCCTATATCTGTAAATCGAAGAAAGAATGAAAGTAAAATTGGTGTCATTATGACAGAGGTAAGACATGTGCCAAAATACGTTAAACTTAATTTTTTTCTTTGATCATCACATCAATGCTCCATAGAGAACATCAACCAGTCGAAAAAGTGGCATGTTGAACTGCAAGCACAGGTAAAAATTATAAAGGTCAACACTGAGATAGAAAAATATTGCAATGGAGACCTAGTGAAGTAAGATAAAGCATTTTTCATTATAACTATGCAACAAACAGTAAAGTATGAAATAAATATCTTATCTTTTGTAGTCTTTCTTATGTACTTATTTCATATAGCTCAATGAAATAAGCCATATTTCAATATTTTTAAGCTTCAAATCATATATGTAAAGCAGCATTTTACTTAAATATTTTCTGTCAATGTAAAAAGGAACTTTATGTTGACATGATGTGTTTCTAATAACAATGTGTCATCCTAACATTACATGTTCTGTCAGTATTACATTAACAGAACACTCACAGTCTGGCCTGTATCCTAAATTTCGTGGTGTTCGTTTCACCAGAAGGCTGAAATGACAAAATAAGGAATTGTCAAGAAGCAGGTAAACTTATTATTATGCAATATTTTATTCTTATGCAATAAGTTACAGTCGTCAGTACATATTTATACATCTTGGTACATCAATTAGTACTCAAACATTTGAAATACTGTGGGGAAACAATATACACAAGATTTAGACCAGTATTCAAATGAAAACACTGATCTGTTTCATACTGTTAGTCTGTCTAGGAAGAATCTTCTCCTAGACATCAATTGTAAAGAAATTGTCAATACAATCTTTACAACAAGAAATATAAATATCAAAACACAAATGCACTACCGAATTGGAAATTTGAAAGCTTGTGTTTTCCTGAGTTTTCTTCTGTACTAACAATAAAAGTCACGATACCTTTGATCTGTAGCCCAGTACCCATACTTCTAAATAACTTTAGTGCATTCAGTTCTTTATTGTTGAAATTCAGACAGCAATACCAAAGTAGCTACACTGCACAGTACATCAGAAAAGACATGAGAAAGAAAAATATGAATGTCTTGAAGGTTTCCACATCAACAAAATAGCAAATTGAATACAGAAAGGGATAAAATGATTGCATTTTGCAAAGCGAGCCTACAGTACTGTATGTCACCTTTGTGCAGAAAAAGCACAAACATTTTCTTGTATTTACTGTACCTTACTACTTTTACCATGTTTGGTTTGTGTCCATTTAGAAGAGACAGTAATGCTTGGATAGTTCTGCCTGTCTCCACAATGTCCTGCAGTAGAGAAAGCAAATATCTCAGTGACTGGGAGACTAATCTTCACAGTTCTCACTGCCTTTTGGGTGATAATATGAGAAAACTACAGAATGTGAATTTGAGATTTAGATTTAATTCTAAGTCTTATTCTTTTGTAAGGATGCAGGGTATTCTCTTGTTGGCATGTCAAGGTGTTGCACAGGAATTCAGGTTAAAGGAATAATATTTGGGGATCCTGGGTCAGCAGAGAATAGGGCTCTGAGCCACACAGTGTTCTATATTGTGTAATTTTGTTTAATAATTGTATTATTTTATTATTAATAATAAATAATAAGGCAGGATACAGTTTGGATGGGACGCCATCCTTCAGACACAGACACAAACACACAGACTCACACCAGGGCCCCTTTTATCTTGATAACACAAATATTAATTTGACATATTTGTGTAGAATTAGTTTAAAATCATTCCTGCACAAGGGAAATGTATACATTTATATTCAGGAAAGTATTAATTGGTGATGCTAATGCTTTCTGTCTCAATAAGTCTATAATGAACAAAGAGGAAAAGTTGTTACTGTCCATATAGAATCCTCTTTGGAAATATCAGCTCTTTTCTCAGCTACTCATGCTAAGACCATTATCCTCCAACTGTAGCTTAATTAAAATCCTTATCAAGACATGCATTACTGGAATAATCACATTGACCAAGAAATTAATGCTTTGTCTATCTTATTTTAAGATAGGGCCTGAAGTGCATTGCATACTGTAGTTTCTTTATTGTTGTAACAAAAATTAAAACTGCACTTACCTCAACTATTAAAACATTCTATAAAGAAAAGTATAAGAAAGCAATATGTTAGGTTTGGGCATGAAAGAATTTACATAAAACACTAAGTAATGTAAAACTTGAACTTTGTAAAATCACATTTTCCTCAATATATTCTATACAATGTGATCAGTACAATATGTATCCATTTCTTTATTGGAAGGTAATATAATACTTTCAGTCTTAAATTTGAATTTAACAAATACACAAGGTAATCTTCAGTCAGTATACTTTTAACACATTCATTCATGTTTAGTCAAGAAACCACATGAACCATAAAGCATCTGTAGGTCAAACACAAGCTGAAAAAAGCATCCTGATCTTGATCATTCAATACATATAGACTCACTTTTCCTCTCAGTGTAGACAGTTCATCTCCTCCAATAATTTTAACATTGCTTGTAGACTCATGTTTCTAGAAACAAATATGGGCTCTGTAATGTAAATTTTGTTAAGTGTGTAGGTCTACAATACATTAAGGCTTATTATGAATAGTTAAAAGCATATCTAAAAGGAGTTATTCCTATGAGAAATCAATTTTTTAACTCCACAGCTATCTGAAATCCTTGCAAGGTTTCAATAAAGTTTCATGTTGCAACAACCCCATCTAATATGTTGTTTATTAGGGATGCAAAGAAGGTTTTTTGCTCAGTGGTTTAACCTAACCAAACATTATTACCCAACTGGATCAATTAGGTCCTTTTCTTAATACGTTTAGTACTTTGGAATCCTCAGTGATGAAAAGCACTACATAAATGAAACCATGTTTTTATGTAAAAAAATCAATTTAAATATTAACATAATAAGAAAATAAACTGTAACACAGAAAAAAAATGATGTCGAAACAATATCAGTGCTGGAAAATGAAAAACAGAAAAAGAACATAGATGGGTAACTCACACCATAGTTTTTAAGTCTAATGAAATCCACAGTCAACGGAAGAGAGTTATCGCTGTTTCGATTAAGTGCCTTGATATAATTTAGCAGATCTGCAAAGAATGTATAACCACCTTTCAGTACGCATAGAGCCACAATATGATATCCTCCTATTTCCTGTATAATATCTCGTGCCAAGCGTTCTGTCCTGCAGATGGAAACACAAGTTTCACATCCATTGTTTTAAGAGGAGCTGATAACAATATAAACAACTACATTAAATAAAACATTTCCATTACAACATATTTTTAAGCAAAAGACAGTAGGTATATATGTTGGGATGCAGCAAGTATAAATGTACTACAGTATACTGTATGTCTGCAGAACTCCTAACGCACTTATTTACTAACGTTTACTGTACATTACCAATTTAAAAGATCTAATTTCCAGCTTAGAAGCCAAATAAATGTCAAATAAAAAGAGAGGTTTGCTAGCTAATGAAAAAGTGCAAAATGCATTGCTATATCTACTTTTTATTTATTTATATGCAAAGCTCAGTCCATGTATGTGTAATTTTAAAGCTGTTTGATTTTTAATCTGTGATCTGGAATAAACTCTCAATGGGAAAGAAAGAGGACTTCAATCTGAGATTTACTAACAATACGTTTTTTTTTAAACAATGTATAAATTCATTTATCAAAATGAATCAATGGAAATGCGGCTCACACTGAAAACAGTTTCAACACGTTGAAAAGAAGGAGATGGTTATAAAAAAAAGAAAATGACATGCAAATTACACAATGAGGAAATCATCTAACTCATGAAATACAAACTGCATCCTATGCAGATGACAGGACAGAATTTATTAATGTGTATCATACTTATAAGACTAGAGACTTCTTACCTATCCATTATAAGGCCATGAGGAATAATAACTTTATCTAAGTCCTCTTCATAGTGTTTAGGGATACAAAAGAGATCCAAATCATGACCCTTGTCATCATCAGCAATCTGTAGACAGATAAATCATTATTAAAGTGGTCTTTAACCAGAGCATATAAATAAAGAAATCAAAAATGCCAACTGGTGCACAAGTTGTAAACTTACAAGTTGTAAATGCAATATGGAATTACCACATAGTATATTTTAAGAACTCACTCATGGTTTGTTGAATATGCAACTAAACCAATTTTCAATCGTTAGAAATAGAAAATGGGTTACAAAAACGTTTTACCATTATCTGTTTAACCTCAATGTTAATGACAATTATGTAACTGATACAGCCAGGCCAATACAAATATTTTATGTAGCATAATAATTCAAACTGGTTAAGGTATAATTTAATTTAGCCTTTTCTTGTTAAGGTCGAATGCGGCATTTTGTAATCCAAGCAGATCAAGGCATAACCTGATTTGTAACCTAATTATCAGGTTACACAACATATGAAGCTATTTTAAGATGTTGACCATTTCCGGCATGTATTTTATGTTAGTTTATTTTTAATCTGCGACTTCATAGGTGAGAGTGAAGAAAAAAGTTAAGCGTTAGTTGCACATACGGAATTTAAACACGGTACTTTTTTAATTGGAAAGCTATACGCTTAGACGTCCAGTAATCACTCGCGTTGCCATAGCTGCAATGAAGAAGCTTGGTTGCTCAGCCTGTTGATCCAAGATTTATTTACCGTTATATTATATTCTGTATGTACATTCACATCTTTTTCTTCACATAAAACATACTTTGCTCTTTAACCCGTACTATATATTTTTAATCGTAAGAACGTCTTCCCTTTAAAGGTGAAAAATGTAACTCTGCAAAAAAAAAATCCATCTGGTTCCTACAGGTAGCTACTTCACATCAATGAGCACATTTCAAAACTCAGCTCTTGTATTTCAGACACACCTGTTTAAAAAACGATTTAAATGCAGTTATTGTCGCTGCACTCCGCATCCAATAAACAACCGTCGTTGTCTAATAATATACCTCGTTATTGCCGTTGACATACAGTAAATTAAAAAAGTGCGCCTTCAAAATGTTGTCTCCCCGTTAAACTCAATTCGACAGTTACGTAATTCTACCTGGTGTGAGTGTAACATTGTAATCACGGCAAAACATGCCTTATGCCTTACCTGCAGAAAGGAAGCCATTCTCCAGCAGCACGCCCTTTATCGCTTCACTGCCTGTTGTCTGAAGTGTCATACCATCTACCGTCTGTAAAAGAGTCACCTTAGACTGCTCGCCCTCATCGAATGCGAACCGTGCTCTTCTGTAGTGTTAAACCTCTGCGTCACAATCCATTTTACCTAATAATCTGGTTTAACCCCTGCGACCAAGCCTTATTTAGTTCGCTTACTACCGGTATGGTGGATTGATTGTTCTTGTCTGTGGTAGCGAAGTTGTAAATAATGGACAGTTTACATCCTACTGACATATTCGCGTTTTCCCTGGACGTTTATCGAAGGTGTAGTCAGCAGCCGTAATTATTTCAAATAGAATGGAATGTATAGTTGGATATTCTTTCACCCATTTATAAAGTTTCTTTCCGTATACTGTATGTGAGCTACTGTAACTTATTGTGCACACAGAGCAGGGATCTCCAACCAAGTCTTAGAAAGCCCCAAATCCAGCAGGTTTTGAAGGTCCTAAATAATTAATTTGTAAAGCACTTGAAAAACAAAATCCATCCTGCCCAGCTAGGGTGATAGAATATATTATGTAGTTTAGCTATCATTTAGGGCAAATATACTGTACAATTACTCTTCATCCCTCATGGACCAGCGGTAATTGAGCTTGCTAGATTCCTCAATATCTTACAGGTGTAACTTGGATTGGGGCTCTTTGGGACTAGGGTTGAAGACTCCAGATACAGAGTATGGCCACCCTGCATCTGCATATAAGCAAAACATTAGACAGTTCTGGTCTTTATTAATAAATTCCTAGCACTGCAATGTGCTATAGCCCGGTCACACATTTGCAAGAGTCCTGAGTCTATTAACCTTTCCTTTCATAAGAACAGTTGACATACTGTATTCTCCTCTTGATAAAAATGGGGCTTCAATTATTAATCCAGTTTCTGCAATGAATTATTAAAATGTAAGAAACCACTGAAAATGTTAAGTTAAGATGGAAAGAAACTGTCAATTTTTTAAATTTAAAATGGAATGGTTTATCCTGCCTTGCATCTTTTGCTTACTGGATCAGGTTCAGGCCTCCCTTACCATGTATTGGATAAAGTGTTTCAAAAATGGATGAATAGATCAATCAACCTATGTATCATAATAAAGTTATATTTGTGTGCTTTTTTTTAAGGTTCTATTATTTTTTATACAAGACCTTTCTACAGCAAAGTGTGGCTGTATGCTAGGGGAGACTGAGTTTATCTAACCACTACGGAAACTGAGAGAACATAGGCTGATATTACCAAAGGTTTTTAACAAATGTTATGATTATGCTATATATAAACACTTTTGAATGTTACGGTGAAATTAATAATACAGATCATATTTAGAACTAATTAGAAATTTAATGTGCTACTTCAAACAGCTCCCTGCATGTATGCTCTTCAACAAGAATAGTCAATGCAAGTATTTATTCTAGAGCAGAATCAATTAAATGCACTTGAATTGATTGACTACACAGTTACGCTATCAATATCTTACAAAAGAGTATTCAAAGAATGATGAAGACAAGAACTGTTGCAAAAATATTCTTGATATAACTGATTACATACTGGTTTATCAGAAATGTCCATGACACAATAATTCTCCTAACAAATAGAGCACTCACTGATTTAACTGATTTTTCCCTTCATTAAGCTGTGGGACAACCCATGATACAGATATAAAATGTAAACATGTTCCAAAGAAACCTGTACAGGACTGTGCAGTACCGTATATTGGTTAATCTGCACAGCTGGTGGATGCTACTTAAGCAATCTGCTTTTATACAGATGTTTTGTTTGAATCTGTAAGGGCTCTCTTCCAACAGATGACAACCATCCATGTTAGGTTCACACTTTTATCTTTTTATTTCACTGCCCTGTCACAGTACTTCAGGGCATTTCATTATGTAAAAGGTTGTTTGAGTGCTTTTTTTACACCTCTAAAACAGGGATTGTCTGTGAGGCGTGAAGGAAAGTCTATGTGCGTTGAGGAACAAACACGCCATGCATGTCGATGTGAATATCTGTGTCCACAGAAGCCCGAGCAATCTCCCCAAAGGATCTGGCATCTTGGACAAGCAAGAAGGAAGATTTCCCTGGTTCTGGGCAAACCACCACAGACAAGACAACACCTGCAGATAAAAGAAAGCAATGTAAAAACCCCAAACCTGTTGTAAATGCAAGTTAACCTTTACAGCATGATACGGTTTCATCTTTTTAATTTAACCTAAACTGTTTCTCAGAGTTACTGGAATATGCCTGCTAGCTTTTTTGGCGCATATGAAAGAGCTCACCATCATCCTCTTCCAGCGGGTTGGGTGCTGGAATAAAGACCGGCTCCGATGGCCAGCAATTTTCTTCACTCCATTCCACCATCTGCTTCGTTTCAACATCCAGCTTCATGATCTTCACAATGACCACAGGAGAACAAAATAAACACTTTTAAAATCCGTTACCTTGAACAGCAGATGTTACTGCTTTGCGCTGTAACCTCAGATTGTGTTTATAATTTAATTTATGCAGGGATTAGAACTGATGATATTGTGCATATACTCTGTGAAGCAGTGACAGTCCTCATCAGTTATCAGCTATTAGTACTGAATATGGTGTACAATGTATGAAGTCGTAAGTAGGACTCATAATGTGTTTAGTATCCTGGAACATTCACTAGTCTCACCTTTGTAGGCACTGGTGACAGCTCCACTCCTGTTACATACACATATCTGTGCTTCTTGCCATTGAAATCATAGTTAATCCTTGGAAGTTCAACCCCTGAAAGATTTTAAAAACAAATTAACTCCTGACGTCCTTTCCAACCACCACAGATTAGCTTAATAAATGATACACAATGTGGGTCAGTATACAAACCTAAAATGGTGGCTTACCTTCAAAGAGTATTTCAGGCTTACAGTACAATTTTCCTTCTTTCTCTTTTAAAGCAGCAGCTGTTGTAGACTTCAGCTTGACTAGGTCACTACCAACATCTACTCCCTGTACAAATCGAAAAAAAAAAAGATATTAATAGGGTCAAACATGGTTTCACCCAAGAAGCTTAAATTAAAATCCATTTGCATCGTTTATTAAATCTGACATTTAAATAGCTTATATTGTAAAATATTGTGCTTACAGGGAAATGTGCTCAGATTACCTTGTCTGAGTGCAGTGGGAGAACAAATCTCTTGTATTCAGGCTTGGAGGTCAGTTTTCCCATTTTCTTGGGTTGGTCCAGACCCCCCTGCAGGTTAGCTAGATAGAACATGTCATACAAACTGTTGTCCTTGTAGGCAATGACATCAAACACCACATGGCCATCCTCTTCGTAGGCATTGACATGGTGATAGACCACCAAAGCATCAGTGATGAACTTAGTCGGCACAGGCTTATGGGTCTTTCTGTCAATCAAATGAATCAGTGTCTAGATTAGACAAAAAAAGGAAAAAAAAAGTGTTAAAAGGTCAACACTTAAATAATCTGGCTGGTTTATGACAGGGTGTTAAAGGATTCCCACCCCCAAATTACGGTAATAAGCACACATCTATTTTGCTGCAAGTCATTTACAGGAGTGGTAGAGTAACAGCTGGAATGCAAGATTTAAATTGGGTACATTGGGTTACCTTAAAGAGACATAACTCTCAAATGGTCTTTATTTGTTGCTTTGTTATAGATAAAATATTGTAGATCAAAACCATCCAAAACATCTAGAAATTCAGAATGTGGGTGCTTACGTTATCATTAGAATGGAAGTTTAGACAGCTGGCCCAGTTGACTCCTCGAAAGTAAGCTGTTGCCATCTTCAGGATGTCCAGTTTGAAAGGCTGCTCAATGAAGATGATGTAATTATCAGTCATCCCAAAGCTGTGGTAGTAGCTGGGGGTGAGGAGGCTGCGGCACGGCACTGAACAGATTACTTCCAGGTCCTTCAGAGAAGGGCTTTTCTTGTCTGAACAGAATAATCAGAGGAGGTGATAAGTGCTAATGCTGTTCCAACACTCACTGGCTTTAGGAAGGTTTACAAGCGTACACTATTAAACCATTTTAAACCAAAACACAAGCATGCAAATGCTGAGGTTACTTTTTAAGGTGTGTTGGGTCCAGAAGACGAATCATTTTAGGCCCAATACGTATACAATACAGCCACTTAGTTTCCGATTGTGAATGCAGACTTTTTCAAGAAGAACTTTAAAAAATAAAACAAATGAAATGAGAATTTGTTCTTGCTCTTAGAGACGTAAGAACTAAACTCACAGGAATCATACAAAATATGTACAATAAATTAATTCTGCCCATTACGTTTTATTAGGTGCTCCTACCTTGTGCAGTAGGTGGGATCTTGAAGATTGAATACCTGGTCTTTCCCTTATCTGCTATAGAGGTCCCCATGTTATAACTGCTACCATCTTTGCCATAATGTGGGTGAGATGTTACTAAATTTACAGCAATGTACTTGAGGTAGTCCACCTATAAAATTAAAAATGCAATAGAAAAAAGCTTGAGGTTCCCTTTTCATAAAAAAAATTAAAATCTTACAAGTCATGTCATGAAAATAAATACGACGGAAACAAATAATTTCCAGTATTCCAGAAAATAAACGAAATAAACTTTTTTTCTCCACCCATCCATTTTCTAATTGGTTCTTCCAATTCAGGGTCATAGGGAAGGTGCAGGGCAGGGTACACCCAGGTCAGAACTCCAGTCCAACACAGGGCTCACACAGACACGCACGGATTCTCACACCAGGGCGAGTTTTCTAAGAAGCAAATTAACCAACTGTACCAGTATGGTACAGGACTGTGGGAGAAAACCAGAGCACCCAGAGAAAACCCATGCGAACATGGGGAGAACATGCACACTACACACAGATGGCCAACGAGGTCTGGAATTGTACCCAGGGCCCCAGTGCTGCAAGGCCGTAATGCTAACCATTGTGCCTCTGTGCTGCCCAAGCATTTAGTTTCTGAAACAGAAATCTGTATGTCAGTTTTTCATGATCTGTATTTCCTCTGTGTACAAACAATACGGATGGATATGGACAATAGGATGGTACAAGCGACTTCAGTTGAAAATAACCATAGTGAGACATGTTGAGCATGAAGACGGTTACTTTTTCATAGGTTTCAAGGGTGTCATGGTCAATTTTCCGGATGTAGTTGGTTTCAGACGTGGCGTAATAATCCTCTCCATATTTAATAATGTTTGTCCCACAGTTATCTGTGAAGTCTGGAATGGTGTGCGAGAGATAGGTGAATGCTCTGCAATTGTGAAACGACAAAAGAAATTGTAGTATATGATGAATATGAATGGGTATGATTGATGCATTTGTGATTAATTCTTTTAGAATTAATTGAATACATAATTGAATACAAAAATATCATTCCAGGTTCTAATTTTATCTTAGTATCTTGTGAAAGATGGATTTGAAACAATGCCTTCAAACAATCAAATAAAACGTTGCAGATTACTCACTTAGAAAATATATTTTTGCAGGGATCTGGATAAGCCATAGTCCCCATTTCTGATACTACTATTCTGTTTGCCTCCATGTTACATTTATAAGTATCTCCACGCAGAAATTTGCTCCTGTAGAACACGTCTCCTGCAGGGAAAAAAAATACTTTGCTATAAATCACAGAATCATTCTTGGTTATTCAAAAATGCACAATAAAACTCATTATCTTTATTCAGCAGTCTTCTCTGGCCATGATTTATACGGAGTGATACAGTCTTCATGCTTAACTTAACCATAAAAGATGGTTCACGAAAGCTCCATTTCAACAATTATAAAGAGAGTTTCAATTCAGCACATCAGTACATTTTTCCATTGAAGTACAGTATGGACCGCAAAACAGTATCTCCAACAAATGCATGCCCCCCAACACACAGTGGCCAGGACCACTGTTGGCTAGCCTAGTCTCCCTTCCCTCACCGTCTTTGAAAGTGAAGCTGTGCAGTAGTGCCAGTCCATCGAACCAGTGGTTGTAGGAGGTCTCTCCCACAGAGAACATGCCTGGCCCATTGCGCAACAGGGTGCCTTGTAACCAGGCAGGGAGAGTGCCTGCCAGCATGCAAAAAAGAAAAAGATTAAACTGCAAAGCACCGCACAATATTGACCTGTAATTCCTGAATTAACTAAACAAATCCCTGCCATTAGGTGATTTTTCATTGTGTTTTCAAAATCAAACAGTTGCCATCCTGTTGCTCTGGCCTTTCCTAGTACATTTGTTTTGCTACAGTGGCATGATCGTCTTGACCTTGCAGAAACTGTAGGTGAATCTTTGTGTCAATAAAAGGGCTGATTGATGCAGTATGCATTAACACCTCCACTCTCTATTAAATGCATTGCCATTTATGTAAGATAATTCCTTAACTGGACATTTTTACGTTAGCAAATAATGACTGTGTCAGTTTACAATTAACCACAGAATCAAACGAATCATTTAAGTGGATTGTAATGAAAGCTGCCAGTTCACAACTCAGTGTTGAAGATGCTTAAGTTGTTAAACTGTTGACCGATTCTTGCACATTGCCGTAAAATACCTTTACAATTATGTTGTTTACGAAATAATTTTAAATATCGCTGATGGCGCAATAGTCTAACCTTTGTATTTAATCCAGCTGAAAGTTATTGTTTGCCCTTTGACTGCCAACTGAAAAATGGCTTTCGCTGCACGTTTTCCATCAGTATTAGAAAAAACAACTGACAAAGACGTCCTTATACTGTACATGCACGTCATAGGATGTCTGTAAAACCATAATTAATCGATGCACATTAGTTATCAAACCGCTGCAATTGAGATCACGTTTTCACTTCATATTAAAATAATGTCAATCAAAATAATATCAATCAAATATTACATATAATTATATCGAGAATATTAACGACAAAATTAAATTATCCTTGCAATTCTTTCTTACCTGTTTTCGGGATGTAAAAACAAATTACTTTTAAACTTACTGAAAACATATGCTGTATTTATTTTAAAACCCCCACAATTATAGCGATTTAGTTCAATGTCTCGCAAATGGCCGATAACCCCGCAAAAAGAGAACAGTTAGAATACTAATAAGAAAAAAAGTTAAATTCTCAGCTGCAAGTAATCATCTTTTAAAAAAAAAGGATTTTCCGTCTGTTCCCCCAGTAATACTGTACAAACCTTTCACATCCGCTTTAACAGGATCGGGCTTTTCCTCTTTGTTTTTGCTGTAATCGTACTGCATTTTTACGGCTCGTCTATTTGTTATGATTCTTTTAATGCTAGAAAGAGATCTCTGTTTTCCAGACACTATATTTAACCTACTGTACTGACAGTAGATCCATCCACTTCTTTGATTTGCTGTGGGCAGGCTCGGACTATAAACACGCTGGTTTGACAGATTACGGCTATATTGGGTTGTGTTTTTCTGGGAGGGGAGACGGGACACCAATCAGGAGGTGTAACGCATTTTCTGTCAGAGGGCAGTGAAAAGGGAACAACAGCCACAATTCTAGTCAGACCTTAGCGGATAAAATACTGTCCGTACAAAGTAATTAATAACATTCCAGAATTCCTTTGTGATAGGAGAGTTATAAATTCAGATTACTGTGAAAGAGATCGTCTTTTAATGTTGTAATTTTACACTTTTCCGCAGTTCTAGAGTAATATATGTAGTTCAATTTTTCTCCCACAAAACTAGATACACTTATATAAGGACTCACCTATGAGCCAAACATAAATGATTGATTATTAAAGTATGTTTACTTATTGTAATAGACCTGCAATTATGCTTTATATAGTATGGTGTTCTTCAATACTTGGTGAACCATTTAAAAGGTCAACATTTTATTTTATTATGTTATATAGTACTATATTTCACAAATACATTCATATGTAACTAGAAAAAATATAAATATAATAATCACAGTCATACACAATCACAAGCAGTTGTAATAAGTAATCACAGACAAACCTGTTGAAAGAATAAAACTGGTGAACAACACATTACATTGTTTCTGTTTTGAAATGGTGCTGTTTGATGCTATGTTGATTATCAATATCTGAAGTGCAACACTCTACAATCTACAATGCCAGTGATACTGCCATATTCATCCAAACTTTCAAATTGACAAATATTATTTCAGTACGTCAAGTCAATCCAATTTCACAAGTGTAGAACTATTAACAAATCTCCCTGTTTCAGATGTACAGCAAGTGTCACAGCCTCCTGATTTCAGGGAAGCTCTAGTTATTGAGAAATCAAAAGACCCCTAAAATCTGAAAAACTGCATCAGTGCCCTTTGTGGCCAAGGCCTTTGGTAATTGTTATTTTTAATGATAGGACCATGCCTGGGTATTTATTACAGATGCAAACTGCACAGGTGAAGAGCCAGGGCCCCATTTTCCATCAAGAAGTTTGCCATTTGCCATCAAGAAGTTTGATCAACAGAAGGTCTACTCCAAACAGCACAAACTAGTATCCTCTGTTGGAAGGATTATAGGCTCTACATCAGCAATGCTTGTTTTACACCTGATTACAGATGCTATCGTGTGAGACTCTGTCCCATTTCACTCTAAAGCCCAAGACAAGAACATGCCAGTGCACTGTTCCCCTGGTCTGCTGTTGCTGTCCACTATTACCAACTACTTTATACTTTTATACAGTGCTCTGTGGTAAACTGTTGCAAAGGGCATCATAGAAAATAGAAGACCAAATAAAGGTACTATAGGACTCATCCTAGACATTACATGTGGTTCCAGCTTAACTCACAGATTTTCAACGGAGCTCATGTGTGGTGAGAAAGGCATCTACAACAGACGTGTCACATGCTCGTTTCGCAAGAACAGTTTGCAGGTGACATGATGAGCCTGAGAATGTACATTGTACTGCTGAAGTGCTGCATTGGGTCAGGATGACCCAACAAGAAGGGCTGTATCAAGGCAGCACCACAGAGTGAGGTTATCTTCAATCAGTACAAGTGATGCTGCACAGAGATAAGACACTCCTGACAAGACCATCGCACGTAGACCTTTACTGGCATTTATCTTGGAAAGATGTCCTGACTCTTGGTCTCCCAAGATTGTGGTTTAATATTAACTGTCTTTGGTTGTGACCTCTTGCTAGCTTATAAATGGCTGCCTGAACACCTGAGACACAGAGAGACAGTGCAGACTGCCTAACTCCTATCATACCTACAGTATAATACAAAGGTACTGTTATCTTGATTAGAACAGAGTAATACCATTCCAAAGAGTAATCCTAGAACCCTTTATTCTGCAATTTATCATCGACTAAACACAGTTAGGAGCAGCACTCTAAATTTTTATTTTAAAAAAATGATAAAATCTAGAATCGGATTACATCTTCGGTTCCCAAGAGAAACATACTGTACCTGGTGTCAATCTATCGAGCGCTGGAGAGACCTTCATTCGCTAGTTGTCCTTCACCCCACTGCGGATGTGCCCCATTCACGTCCTCTCCTCTCCCCATAAGCGAGGTAGAGCGGGCGCCTCGAGGCGATAAAATATGTGTTTTCTGGCAGGGTTGTTAGGCTGCAGAGTACCGTAAGCCTGAGTCATGCAAACGGGAAAGTTAATTTTAAAATTCAAATTCATTTAAAGGCGTTATTCTGACTGCTAGCATTCTTTATCAATTACTCGGAGAAAGCGATTGATAAGTCAGTCTTTTATTGTTGACCATTAAGTGTGACACCGATTTCTTTTCAGCCGTTGTTCAATATATTATTCGTGGAATAAATCAATGAAGTTATAGCTGCTTCTCAAAGTATACAGTCATACAATCTGACGGCTCCACTAAAGCAATACTGACGAAAATGCCAACTAAGGCTAAAATCGTTATGCAGTTATCATAAAGCTCTGTTATCATGTTTTGCAGCTGCACATTGCTTTTTTATTGCTGTTTATTATTGGAGAGGGCGGATTTACGCTCTTGGACTTTTCTGGTGTTTAGAGTTCTCTATCTTTTGATGCACTTTGGAACATGATGTTTGGTTTACACTGTTCTGCTGTTGAGCAATTCGTAGGACTGTGTGGAACCTCGTGATTTCCACGTGCACATGATTGAATACTGAAAGCTTCCTTAAAACGTATCTTACAATTATCTATCAACGAAACTAAGTGTTTATGACTAGATTAAGCTGTCTTGTACTTCCAGTGTTTTGTTTATGGAAAACATCTTAATTTAACTGTTTCTTCTTTAATGAGAATCATTCTGCATATTGCATTACGATATATTAGAAACAGTGCTTCAATTTTATTTTGCAGCATATTGTTACTTAATATAATGGATTAAACACTAAAAAATCCATTTACTCTTATTGGAGTATTCCAAAATAAAACAAACCTTAAAATACACTGTAACTTAAATGTCTTTAAATACGTTAATGTAATGCCCATACCGTAAGTGTGCAGCAGTAGGAATAAACATTTTAATTTTTTTTTTTTTTTTTGCCATTTTTTTATTTTCTTTTTTTCCCTTTTCCGTTAGGCTTTTTTGAACCCCGGGCAAATTGTTTTCCCCGGTTCTTTTTAAAGGCCTTCTTTGCTTTCCATTGTTTTCTTATTTTTTTGATTTTTAATTGCATACTGTACATACCACAATTAAAAGTGCTTATCCATTAGAACTGGTTTTCTTACAACTTTTGATCTGACTCAGTTTTGGGATACAATTACTGAACGGTGCACTGCACCAGTATGGCAGTAGAGACCTTTTGCTGGAGCTACAGCTAACAACGTCACCCAGCAATTTTAATGATGTTGGCACTCTGCTCCCTACACAGGCTGGTAGAATGGCTTAGCTCCCAGAACTCCCATAGATCAGCACAAGACAGGTGAATTACATGGGTGCAGTTTTTAATCTGACACGCCTCTTGCAACCACAATAAGGTGATGCTGAACACTGTACACATGCAGCAAAACCCACTTAACAACATTAAGCTTGCAGAAAACACAGTCCTGCTCTTTGTCATGTTCCAATTAAAAAAATAAAAAGGTCCACTATCGCCATATTGTCTCAAATCACAGTTCTATTATACCTCCCCAGCTCTGCTGTCTGCAACAAAAACAGGGCAAGTGAAGAAGAGAGTGCCTGAGTCCTCTGATCTCAACTTTTATACACTCTTGCTGGCTAGGTGATCCCCTCTCCAACTGCACTGAAAACTCAAGGACCTGAATGAGGGACAGGGATATCCAGCTGATCACAGGAGTTAGACAGAGAGAAACATCTGAGAGCTACTTGCCAAATTGATTTTATGCAGATTGGCTGGTTTCATGGTGTCCTTTACCCACTGTTTCTCTGGTCCAGGTCTGATTCCAGCCTGCTCAGCACCGCCACCTACTAAAGTGTGATGAGGGATAACTGCAGGTGGGATTTGAAGCTGCTCTCCTGGAACTCCAAGACGGTGAAAGCCAAGGCAGTGGTTAAGCCCATTAAACTATCCTACCCCCACCCATCTAATGTCTCTCCTCGGGCCGTGTGGTAGTGGACAGGCAACAAGGCAAACAGGGTGCAACTTACTCAGTGACGACTGTCGTCTGCTGTACTCTTCATGCTAGGATGGCAGAAAGACCTTAAAGGGAGAGGGAAGCAGACACAAAAAAGAAAAAAAAAAACTCGCTCTATACCCAGCAAAAACACTAGCCAATTTAGACAACAAAACTGTCACCAAACACCATCGGCGACCCACAATCACACATCTCAGCAATTCAACCAAAAGTCTTTGCCACAGCACCCTCACTCAGACTTGTCCCTCCTGGGTCCCCTTCACTCCTAGATCCTCGACCCCTTTTCCAGGTCGGTACATACTCTTGGTTGCCCCATATTGGATGATGACCCAGTGGATGATGAGTCAATAATTTCAACTCCTTTGGGGACTAGAATTACTCCGGTCTTTTCTACCGTATAAGAAACTATTTCTCAGGGACAGTTTAATTGTCACGATCGTTACTCCTCCTCTTAAGGGCGCTCCAGCCCTTCCTCGTTCTGTCCCATTCCCCCCACCTGTTTCTTATTCCAGCCCCTCTTTAGTTCCACCTTTAAAGCCAGACGCAGGCGATTGCCCGGGGTTCCTCATTGAATCCCGTTTCGTGAGAGCCCGAGGTCCTGCTGCGTCTGGCTCCGTTATGGTTTTAGTTTCCTGTTCCTGATTCCCTGTCCCGGTTCTGGTTTTTAGTTACTTTGGATGGATACCCTGGTCTTGGACTTCGCCTCCCATTTTGGATTTCCCTTTTGGATTTATGCTTGGATTGTTTGCCCCGGACTCACTTCCCCTGGACACCTGCTCACCTCGGACACGCCCCCCTGTCTCCTGACCGACTCCTGCGTGATATTTTTCCCTATTGTTTCTTCACCTTTCGGATCGTGTCGTCCGCATAGGGCCCGGAAAGAACCGTTTCTTGACATTAATTAAAAAAAACATCATGGTAAATTCAGGTGTAATATGACATATGTGATAATCAGTCCTGGTGTGAGTGTGTGCGTCTTATATATAACATGTAAAGTCACAAAAAAGTGTTTATACTCAAACGCTTAAGAAAGCAACCTCTTAAAAAATAAAGAACTTTTATTCATATTTTGATTTTTTACAATATCACTGTTTTCTGGCTTAATATCAAGAAGAAACTAAATTTAAACATTTTACACAAATAAATCTTTCAAAGATTCTTATTCCATTCACCTTTCATTATTTTTGCATTTCGGAAGATTTCACAGAAATATAAATGTTCCAAAAAAAAAGTGATAAGATGCAGGCAAACAGCACTGTGAGAAATCCTATTTTCATATTCAAATACAGTTGTAGTGGCAGGTGAGATATACTCTCAGAATTTCAATTCTGACAAACACTATTTAAACTTCATTCTTCTTATAAACAATGAAAATGTTTGAAATCAAAGCATTACTATAAATGCTTCAGGAATAAAATAGTAAATTACAGTTATCCTTTACTCAACAATCCATTTTTTAAAATCATACTACTACAATTTCTTACATCTCACTTTGTTTTTTACTTTTAAAATAAGAAAAAACAAATTTCACTTTCCTTTCCTCAAAATACTGCATCCAAAAAGACTACAAATGAAATTACGTCATGTCAAACTTGACTTACAGTTACAACCTTCTATTTTTTATTTTGTTGTCACTGTACCAGGACAATCAATCCTTGTAGTTTCACTTAACGCAACAGCTAGAATAATAATAATAATAATAAAGCACCTGCATATAGACATATTGCAGCTACAGAATGACATTAAACTGTATGTCAATTGTTTTCTACTAGTGCCTGTTAAGCTGTTTTCTTGTTACCACCTTTGCTAGCCAGTGTTTGTGCTATATGGTGCAGAGTGGTGGCTCGGTGGCTGGAAGGTTGCAGGTTCAAATCCTGCAGCCGGCAGAGGAATCCTACTCCATTGGGCCCCCGAGCAAGGCCCTTAACCCCAGCTGCTCCAGGGGCGCTGTACAATGGCTGACCCCGTGCTCTGACCCCAGGCTTCTCTCCCCGTCTGTGTGTGTCATGGAGAAATATGGGAAATATGAATTCCTAATGCAAGAAATGGCCAATCAAGTGATCTTATCTTATATTTCCGAGTGTGATGGGCCCAGCCCTGTGACTAGCACTGCGAGTTGAAGCCGACATGCTTCCTGACTTGCTCTTCAGCCTGCTGTGGGATGAAGTGGCCGTGTAGGTCCAGGTGAACAGTGGTGTTGACAGAGGCACGTGCGATCTCTTGGAAATCCTTTGCGTTCAGTATGAGCAAAAACGGTGGCTTTTGTGGATCTGTTGAAATGATGGAGGATAAAATGATGCCTGAAAGAAATTTTTTTTTTTTTTTCAGAAGAGATCCTTATTTTTGCTTCTTAATAGTCTACAGAGAATCCCTAAAATCATGTTGGGTCTACCACAGAAGAAATGCATAATGGTGTTGACATCATTATCTGTGTGAACACAGTCTGTCGATTCTGGGTAACAGGAATATTATGGAATTGTCTTTTAAAAAGCTGTCCAACACAAACACTATGAAAACCAGTATGAATAACACTGATTGCAGTAACACACCGCACAGAAATGAGGAACCCAAGTGGCTCCACCAGTAAAGTTGCCCTTCTGGAGTACATTCTGAGTCCTTTAATCCATATAGCACTGAGTTAAGCCTTTTCTGACTTTGACTGGGATTCCCGGGGTTCAGAATTCAAAACAGCCACTCCCCAGTGACATTCAGAAGCCTGTAAACTTTTTGTTACTGTACATCACTCAGAGATCCACGGCTCTTGTCCTCAGCGCTAATACCGCAAGCTCAGGCTCTGTGAAGCTTGCAGCATGTCATAAAAAAGCATGAATAGCACAAGACCGGATCATGTCTGCATTTCCTCATTTTTCCAGAGCTAAAGGTTTAGCTGTGAGCCGAGTCTTAAGCAATTAGCAATTCCAAACAGAGTGGGCACAGGTAAACAAAATCACAAGACAATAACGAATTGAACACAAAATTCTCATCTCACCGTCATCTTCCTCCACTGCATTTGGCGAGGGGACAAAAACAGGCTCGGCTGGCCAGCAATCTTCCTCTTCCCACTCTAGCATTGTTTTTGTGGCAACATCTACTTTAGCTACCTGTAAAAGCACAACCAGCATGCCCACACTGTAAACACATTGCATTCGTAATTCTTCAGCAAGCTGGCACTTAAAATAAATTGAGTGGGATTTACAAAATCTATATCGATATTTATAAGATCTATTACAGTATCTATATATATATAAGATATATACAGTATACATATAAACTGGATTGCAGTCAGTGATAATGAATATAAGCTCCTTGTATACCTTTGTTGGAAATGGCTTCCACTCCACCCTGGTGGCATAGAAATAGCGATATTTCCTACAATTGGATTCATAGTTAATTCTTGGTAGTTCCACTCCTGTTGGAGAAAGCATAATTATAAGAGAAACCACCTACTGTCCGATAGGAAGCAAACTTTAGCAGTGTGCTGAGTGTTCAAGTGTATTTAGGACATGACTGAACAAGAACAAGCAAGGATTATAATACTAACAGCAACATCAAGGTTTTACCTTCACATATTTCTTCAGGACTGCAGTACACAGAACCATCCTTTTGCTTCACTGCAGTGGCTGTGGTGTTGAGGAGATTAACAAGGTTTTTGTCAGCAGGAGCGTCCTGTGAAACAGAAAGTGACTGTAACAGAATTGTCTACATGTAAATACAATTGTCAGTTAATTTTTCACTGTAAAATAATGCAGTTCTAAAATACATCAACGCATTTGTAAGTCTGAGGTTTTGACTTTCAGAATAATGGTAACAAAACACTGATTAGGTCATAGACTTCGTAACCTTTTTCTTGTTTTGTAGATTGTTTCAGTTTTAGCTTAAAATTAAAACAATACGTGTCTCAACATTGTTACCGCTCTTCTGTGTAGCAGAAATAACTGAATGAACTACAAAAAGCTTAAAGAAGTCTGTTGATTAGGCACCACTTAATATGTCAAATAATATGTTATACCTGGTCAGAACCCAGGGGAAGAACAAACCGCTTACAGACAGGAGGAGATGAAAGCTTGTGTTTCTCAATAAATGTTTCTGACTCCTGCTGCAAGTTAGCCAAGTAGAACATATCATACAGACTGCTATCTTTGTATGCGATGATATCAAAAACAATATGTTCTTTTTCCTCATATGCATTGACGTGATGAAAGACCACCAATGCATCAGCATAGAATTTACTTGACAAAGTCTTCTGGGTCTTCCTATCAATCACATGGATCAGAGTCTGAAAAACACAAACATATGATCAGCAGTAGTTCATCACTGCATTTGGTTCTGGATTTAAGCATTTTACTTCATGATAAACTGGGAATTAACACATTGGCTGTACATTAAATTAAATACACAATGACCTCCATCATAGCTTTGGAGTGTGCTGCATTTCAGTAAATACCTGGTTAAATGAGTGTTTTACACCCCATGTCTATAAATAGGTTATCTGATAATTATATAGGGTATCAAAATGCACTTCAGAGAATTGACTGATTCCCATACATTATCACTTAGATCCTTGATCTTTATTAATGTTGACTTAACAACTGTAAATATGTCTATAAAAAAAAGATACCACTACTGTAGGTTCTTACAACGTCATTGGCTTCGAACTTGAGACAGCCGGCCCAGTTGACTCCTCTGTAGTAGGCAGTGGCCAGCTTTAGGATGTCTAGTTTGAAAGGCTGCTCGATAAAGATGATATAATTCTCGGTCATTCCAAAGCTGTGGAAGTAGCTGGGGTAAAGTGCAGAGCGACAAGGCACAGAACACAGGGACTCAAGGTTCCTCAGACCAGGATTCGCATTATCTAGGAAGAAACTACTTATTTTAGAGGCTTGAAGGCATATTTTAAACCACATGGTCATGATACTGTACAGAAGAAAATGCCTGATAGATTAATACAAATAATGGCTACACCATCAGTAAGCTGGGAGGCTATAGGTAGTTGCCTTTTACAGTATGGGTGCGACTGATTACAATAAAAGAAGATTTTCTCTAAGTGAACGAACCTCAGATGGGTACCACTCATTGTAAAACATCACAATAACATATTGAATGACAAGGGAGTGAGAAAAATACTTATGTTTATTGGTGTTTTTAAGGAAAGCCAAGTATGAACTAGTATGGTCTTTAAGAGAAAGGGACTGGCACACCCCCTGGGCTCCAGTTCATCTGCGATCTCGATGAGTAGGGTGTCACACCGCGTTCACAGGCTGGCCCTGTTACAAAACCTCGCGAGGTCACTTTGCAGATGAGAAATTTCTAAAAGCCCTCAGAAATGACCAGATTCTACCATGTAGTAGGCTTTAAAAATAGAGAGCAGAGACATACAGTAGGAGAGAGTGCCCACATCTGAAGGGCAGCAGTCCAGGGTGAGCAAGGTGAAACCGACCACCTTCATCGCTGGATTTCTCTTTAATGAACTAAAACTGTCCAGCTCCAGGCTGTATTTCCATATCAGCGGATCTATTTCCGTTTCCTTTTGTAAATCCCTGAGGGGATACAAGGAGTTTGTGCCTTTTGTTTAACTGGGAGACGTTGTTACAACTGTACGTCAGTAGAGGGCATGCTCACCTTTTCTTTTTGTACAAAGACAGCTCTGTTGAGAGATGTTTTTTGTTCATCAGAATGACAAAAGTTAGGATCTTGTAGAAAAAATTAATTAGGTCAAGTCCTTGGACTCTGGGAATCTACACAAATTGTAGGTAGTAGTAGTTTTGGTTCTTTCTGTCCTGTGGGTGTATGATACTATTTATTTTTGTCCTAAGCTAATGCCAGTTAATTTTTTTTAGCACCAAATTGTTCACAGGAGATAGAAGTTATGCGACCTTGCTTGGCTTTCCCTGTCAGTGGTAATTAAACAATGATTTTTTTAAATAACCGTTTGTATCAGGACCTCATTTTTAAATTTGCGCATATTTAAGTTATTTACATCCCCCATTTATAACAGCTGGAGACAGGACACGAAAGAAAATGTGTGCTATTTTGTTCTGATGTATGATGTTCTGGAAATAAAATCTTTAAAAAAAATGTTCACCAAAATGAAATCCGCTAGACACTGTTTTGTGATTTTGTGAAAAGGTGCTCCTTCAAGTCACAGCCTTTTGAAATTCTTAGAAGGAACGAACAAGAAAGGAACCACATTGAAAATTTCCGCTTGAAGACACCCTGCATAGTCTCATTAAAGCTCTGGATCGTGCCTCATTACCTGCAGCCTGAGAGGGGACTTTGAAGATAGTATATTTGGGTTTTCCAAAGTTAACAATAGTTGTGCCCATGTTGTATGTGTTTCCTTCTTTGTCATAATGTGGGTGAGATGTAGCCAGATTCACAGCAATGTACTTCCTGTAGTCCTCCTGGGATAAATGGGTAAATGTCAAATAAAATATAAATATAAATGTCAAGTGCCAGTTCTATTGATCACTCAGCAAATCAGAAGATTCCAGGTTGCCGTGTGCTTTTTGATTCAGTTACAGACGTGCACTCACCTTCTCAATTGTCTCAAGGGTGTAGGGATCAATTTTGTGAAGGTAGTTTGTTTCTGTTGTAGCATAAAAATCCCCACCGTAATTGACAATATTAATGAGGCAGTTATCTGTAAAGTCTGGTATTGTGTTGGAGAGATAGGAGAACACTCTGGAATCAAGCAAGATAAAATAACATCAATATTTGGCGTCTGACTCATGTTCTCTTTGTCTTGCCCATTTTGACTACTTTACAGACATTCAAGAAAGGCAGGCGTTTAAGTATGACGTTTGAGGACTATAGTCTGTTAAAAGTGTTTGATCTGGTTTCAGGGATATTGTTGTTCCCACCTGAATGAGAGCAGCGATTTGAGGCTGTGAGGAGAACTCGGGCGCAAGTGAGACAGTCAGGCTGGCGTCGAAAACCAACAGGTAAACACAGTCCAGAGTTTCGTAGCTGGCAAGACACAGGAGCAAAAGCACGCAAGGAACTCCACAAGTGAAGCTGAAGGACACCAGCCAGGCTCATAGCCAGGAGCAAAGCACAAGGGAGAATCCAAAGGACTTTCAAAGCAAGCTGGGACTGTGTCCAAGGATAACAACAAGCCGAGAACACTAAAACTAGAGGATGGGTACTCTAAGACTAAGCGAGGAGGGGCCAAGGAGACTGGTCTTAAACATCCTGTGCCTAATGACACACAGTGTGGAGGTGAGCTGTGTACAGGTGGAGTGAACCTCCTGCCTGAGTGCGCAGCCACACCAACCGTCTGACTGACAGATGTACCTGGTCGCCCTGGCAACTCTAGGGCATATTCCAATACTTTGGGGGTGCAGTTGTGACAGCTGTATTGTAATAAAATCAGCCACATTGTTCTGAAGAGCATTTCGTTATTGGTTACATCCCAAAGAGATGCGAGAGAGAGAGAGACGAGATATCAATAGTGTCCGGTGCGGCGCGACTCGCCTCGTCGGGTCTTTTGTGAGGAGTGAGCTGGGGAGTTTGCTGCCAGGATGTGAATGGGGAGACGGGGGGGCTGCTAGAGAGGTACGCAAGGGAATACCGGGGTCCTACACTTGTATACAAAGGAAAACGCAAGTGTGCAAGAGTAGGATCTAGCCTTCCTCCCAACCTTCTGTTATAAAATGCATTAGCCAATTTAGTCACCTCAAGTGCCAACTTAACATTCACCATGTTTCACATCTGCACCTTCAAAATGTTAATATCAAGCGGCCAGTGAGCGTCTCCACTCTGAGTGTAGCCTTAAGGTATTCCTGACTGTGGAGGTGCCAATTCCCTGTGCAAGACTAAAGGCTACAGTGAGTGAACTAGAAGTTAAGTTGGTGTGTCCCTGCTTACTTTGTGAAGATGCTTTTGCAGGGATCTGGGTAAGCCATGGTTCCAAATTCAGACACCACTATCCTGTCAGCTTTAATGTTCTTCTTGTACGTATCACTGCGGAGGAATTTACTTCTGTAATAAACTTCACCTGGAGAACAGAGAGAAATCTGACACCAATCATGCCAAGTGCCAGGAAGGCACTGTATGTTGTAAATTCAAGATAAACAAAAAACTTCACAACAGCACCATGAAATCAAGGTAGGAGAATCTGAAGAACTGATTAAGAAATAGTCAAGTGAATGGATCTTAAGTACGTCTTAGAACTGCTTTTTCTTAATTCGAGGTCTTACATAGTATGCAAATTTTTAAAAATTGATGTTTACTCTCTGGAGTTTTATGCATTTGTTTATTGGATGGAGTTTTCTCACCATCTTTGAAAGTGAAGCTGTGAATTAGGGACATCCCATCGAACCAGTGGTTGTAGGAGGTCTCTCCCACAGAGAACATGCCTGGCCCATTGCGCAACAGGGTGCCTTGTAGCCAGGCAGGGAGAGTGCCTACGGACACAGATCAAACACATTGTATTATCCAGAGGTCAAAAATCACTGTAAAGATGATATAACAGCAAAAAGGTGTATGTTTTAAGACAACATTTTAAAAATGTGCCGATACATTTAAACATGCTGTCAATTTTCTATTTAAATTAGTAAGAGCTAAAAGCGTACATAAAATGATGCAAAAGAAAGCCATTTTAAAATTCTTTGATCAATAACTTTGTGCGTGTTCATTCTTAATGACTGGGATACGTGCGTGTTCATTTTGTTTTAAATCTGCTGAATTTATATATTGTACTTCAAACACAATCTGGCAAATAATCAATTTTTTGCAAGCAACATATCAACCGGTGTATATAAGTACAAATTAATGAATATATAACTGTGTACAATATGTTTATGAGCAATCAACAATACATATTTGTGTTATACAGTTCATTTAGTTCAATTCTGCTGTTTACAAAAGTTCTCCGACTCTGACCTTTGCCAGTACATTTTTAGCCCTTTCTTTCGAAAGAAATCACCACCACTGTGTTGTAACAGTTCATAACAATTCAGAAAAAAATAAGTTTACAAATTACAGTAATACAAAATGAGTCACACAATTTTAATACTTTTAATACCTGAAAATGTTACATGATCATACTTTATTGTGATGCCGAGAATAAAACTGGTTTAATTTTTAGATCAGTAATTTATCACCTGAACAGAAAATCAAGAGCAATAGCTTCTACAGCTGAACATTTTAAACATTAATAACATTTATAATATTTACAACCAACAACAATAATAACAATTTTGTCATGAGGTCCCACAGGCAATTATTTTGAAATGAAACAAAAATATTCTAAATTAATCTAATCTTTTATGTAAAACCAGCGATAACTGGAATTTAATTAACAAGTGAAAATTAATTTGAAATTTGAGAACTTTAAAATAGAAAAAAAACAGATTCGTTATTTTAAGATTTCTCTTCAAATTAAAAGCTACTAAACTAGCTGCTAAATCACAGCTAGCAGTGAACTACGGGATCTAGCAGTAAAGATATTGCTATTTATTTCAAATTTGGTTAATGGCTCCATATCATCTGTCATCGTGGTAATGATAGTATTAGCTTCAGTTTTAGCATTGTTCAAATTTTCATTTTCTTTTTCAAAACCTAAAGAACAGGTTTTTGCATACCATTTACAAAATCGGTTGCTACTTTGTAGCTTCGATATTTTAAACCCAATTTTCAATGAAGAGCAACATGTTTATTTGCACTAGTTCAAGTAGGAAAAAGCGTCAGCATGCGTAGGCTGCAGAGAAACGAGTACAGGTTTCTTCCATGCTGAAAAAAAACAACGTTTTATTTCCTCACTTCTCCTTTCACCATGGAGTACATGTTTATTTGCATTCAACCCAGTAACATATAGTATGTAGCAAAAATTAAAAAGGAAAATAAATACGTGGTATATGATTCATAATACGCATGTTACAAATGTGTGTTAAATCACCTCCAGTTTAGTATCTATTTATTTACAATCCGCGGTGTGTTTGCCTTGGCACCAGAATGTAAACTTGTTCTGGACGTGATCTTCATCCAAAACAAACTCTGAATCAGTATGTTTGGTGTATGTGGGGTTTCACAGGAGCTGTGTTGATGTTAATACAATTGAGCACTCTCCATACATATCAGCTGTTCAAAAGTTTTCTATTACTTCTTATCATATTTTCAGCTTTGCGTTACGGACGTGTTTTTCATTATTCTACTGATGATATTGGGGGTGAAACTGCGGCTTTTGCTCTAAGAGAAAAAAAATGCTACTATAAAATCATAACATGCGCCGTGTAAAAAGAAATTCTCCACTCTAATTTACTGTACATTCACGGTCAACTGTTTCCGCTTTTCATGGCTCACTCATATTTCCAGGCATATAAAGTACGGCAAGAGTGAAATTGCCTACCATTTCCATCTGAGGCACTCATGGAAAACAAACACAGAACACATGTACTCATGTACCTTACCCGTAATTGTGGCTTTCACTGGCTCTGGCGTCTCTTTCCCGTTCCTGCTGAATATAGGCTGCATTCTTCACTCCCTGAACTGGTGCAGCCACACTGCGAGACAAGCACGGCCCGCGCGGGGCGTCATTTTAATATTCGCCCCCTACCTTCCAAGCACGCACGTGACTGGCACGATTGGAGACATTACATAACTGATCGATCGATTCATATTGCAAGGCTTTTGCTTTGACGTGGCCGGTGCACTAGAGCCACTGATTTCGTTGGAATACTTCCTGCCAAGGTATGAAGACGTCACTTTCCGAGGCGGCACCCTTAGGAAATATGAAGTAAATAGTAGAGGTGAATTTGACAAAGGTTTAAATGTTTATAAAGTCACTAGATATAATCCTAACTCTGAAGCGCGATGCTGTGAAGTGGTAGCAATCTAAACTGATTCACATATTCTTTTTTGTAGCATTTCAGGAATGCAACAGGGTAATCATGGTAGTTTGTCGCCTCCTAACTAGTGGACAAAGTACCAGGCTTCTCCCCTGCTAACAATACTACCAGTTTCCCAAGACTCACCTGACTCCTTGGTTAGGCTCCCTGTATTCTATACATATTTATAGAAAATCGGTTGTAGTATATTTCACTTTGGTAACCCTGTGCTTGTACTTCATTTTCTTTCTAAAGTTTACTTCCAAGCCACATACCTGAAGCTCAACCAGACACAGAGGGCTTAGAAAGACAGCTGATCCATTGCATGGATCAAACGAGCAAGGTGGGCCCAAATGACCTCCTCTGCATCCTTTCTTACGTTTCCCAGTATGTTCTGAGCTCACCATTGCTTCCCCCAGCGGGAGCTGTGCGCTCCATCAGGTTTTATCATGCTTATACTTTGCAATAACTTTTCAGTAGTATTACATGGATGTATCACACATTGCGGTTTATTTCTCTCCTACTGTCTCCTCATCATGCTTCACTGCACTTCACTCATCTCTTACTGTGGTCGTACATTTTTATCATATATTCATGAAACCCAGGAGAGGAATGAGGAGCTGGGAAAGCGAATGTTTCTTCACTGGCTAAGATCTTTGACCGGGTGCTGGCCAATTAAGATAACAGTCACATTATCTTTATGACAGTAAATAATTATCTCCCAGACCTTACCCAGTAGATCAACGTACTTCTGAACTTTAAAGCTGTAGCTGTGGCCAGGAGGGCCACAGTTCAATAGGTTCTAGTGGTAATTTATCCTCCTCAGCAGATAGAAATTGAAATATTTGTAATGCAGACCAAGTAAATGAACATTTATCGATCCATTTCTAATCGTTTTATTCAATTGTGGGGTAGCCGGAGCCTATCTCAGCAAGCAATGGGCACAAGGCAGGGTGCACCCTGGATGGCATGTCAATCCATCGCATCAAATACGATATAGCTACCAGTATGTCTCTGGACTGGGAGGAAACGAGAGCACCCAGAGGAAACCCAAGAGAATAAAGGGAGAATGCAGACAGCACCCCAGGAATTGAGCGCAGGGTTCCCACAATGCCCAGAACTGCTAGCGACCGTGCCGCCATGCTGCCCATCCAGTGAGCAGGTGTTTTTAAAGAAAGTCATTGACACCAGGGTGGAATGAAACCCAGAGGACTCTGTGATGACACACGACACAAGCAACCCCGCCACGATCGGGTGTCACTCTTGTCACCTGATTATACCAAATTTTCATCTAGCATTCCTACAGCTGGGGAAATATTTAAGTCTTTTTTGTAGTGTCCGCCAGACCAGAAGAAACTCTCTTTGTTGTGTACTGATGCTTTAATTTGATACAAGTAAAAAGTTTACCTTCAGTTTGGCATCAAGATAGAGTGGACTTTTATAGGGCCTCTTCTTTTAAATTAAATACCTTACTAATTTATGCCTTTTTCAGATGGTGTTAGGATTTGCGGCTCACTGGGACACCCAGGTAGCTGGGTCTTAGCTCTGTAAAAGCTTAAAGATACTTATACATGTTACAAATTGCAAATATTTGTAGATAATGATCCTATGTGTTTTGTGTGTGGCTTGTTTGTTTTGTAAATTAATATATGTTTGTGTCTTGTAAATATGTTCTGTTTTTTACTACAGTATATGAAACCACACTGGACCAGCAACAAAAGCAGCCACTCGACCATGCTTGCAATTAAGGGACTATAGGGAGAAGATTTGTTTTTAAAGTTTGCTTTCTAGGCAAGATGGTGTCAGGGACTGATTTTCACTCACATTTGTGCTTTATTTACACCCCTCTATTTGTTAATGTTGTTCTTTGTTACAGTATGTTATAATAGCATTGAGTTTATATACAGTCATGTATACTGAGAGATGGCAAAGTATAGACTTGCATGTGGGGCTTCACAGTCCATTAAAGAACCTATAAAGCAAAATGCACCATGATTGGACATTGGACAATGAGAGGTTCTTTGCTATCTATCTATCCATCCCCCACAAGGGGATTTTGTGTTTCCCAGTAATTTATCATTTTCCCAAAATAGTGATGTTATTGGTCTTACAGTGTGTGTTCTTATCAATGAACCCTTATCATCATAAGAAAATGTGACAGTTGGAAGGGTTTAAGCAAGATGTAACAACTGTTAAACCATTAGAGATAATCTCATACTTGTTCTAATTGGAAAATTATGCAAAGGATGGAACAAAGTTAATTTGTAAAAATGTATTTGATATGCAATGTTACACCTTACTCTAGAGTTTAACAATTTCTGGCATATTTTGTTGTTTGTTGTTTGTTGTTTGTTGTTTTTTGTATATAGTAGTACAAAACTTCCTTTTCTGAATGCTTTACTGAATTTCTGATTTACAGTGAATCCAATTAGAAATACTCTGTGTAGCTGTTGTTATTTCTACTCTAGATGTAATATAGAGTAAATGTCCTAAGAAAACTGTCTGGAACTTGACTTTCTCCATTTTTATTGCATATTATATACAGTATGCATTTGCTATGTTCGGAGTTTATTGCTGGTGACCTTTCATTTAATAAAATTGCCATTAGGACCCTCTAAAGCTTTGAGAGGAGTGGGACCCCAGAGGTCCCCTGAGGAAAACCCAGTAATAGCCTTTTTTCTTTAATTAAGAAATACCATTGGTACTCTATCAGTGAATAACTAACCAGCACATTCAAATCATTGTTTTATTGCAGGCATCTTGTGCACTATGATCATTACAGTTATCTTATCTTAATTGAAAAGTGCAGTATTTTTTTCTTTTAATTGTTTTTGCGATAAGATGTGTGTCGTTATGTCGTTACTGTAGATGACCTATCAAAAATATTCTGTTGTGACATTCTCATTCACAATATAGGCATATGATGGGATTCTGAGTTGTGCTGATGTTTCTTTTTTCAAAGTCGACCAGAGTGAAGAATTTAAGTTGATATTTAAAAGGCCTCAAATATATATTTTAAATTAAAATAGCATTTTTTTATTTAATATTTTAAATAGAATGTATGCCTGCGGGTCCCTGTTTGTTTTTGAATAGCTCCTCTATTGTAAAGCTTATCAGTATATGAAAACTTCCTTCAGCTACATCCAGAAAATCTAAATAATTCGTTGAAAATACTGAAAAGCAGTTGTAAATACATTCGGATACTTTCTAAATATTTTTCGAACGTATTCCAATATTTAACAACAAGTATTTTCAAATGACCGTTTTCTCAATGCTTCTTTGGAAAATGTATGTACTGTACTTTACCCAGATCTTGCAGAGTGGAGTAATGTTTTTTCACTGCCTCATGCTGTTATTATAGTACTTTTGACAATATGAAAGAGGATAAGGTATTTTCGGTTCAAAGTCCAAATTAATCTTGCTATTTAAATGCAATACAAATATTACTGAGTGAGTTCTTTTCACTCATTTCACTAAAGTCCTCAGTATGAAGATTTTTCTGTCTCTGATGATCATTCTGTATGCGTATATGGAATTTCAATTTGATAAATAAGGAATTTTTGAGGACACAAAAGTCACATGTTTTATTTTAGCCAGCCTAATAAAAGGCAGGGCTGGATCAGAAAAGACTCCTCTCATGACTGATTTTAGAGCATTAACCCGAGGCTTGGCTGACGTCTTGTTTGCTAGTAAACAGCGATATCTCACATAGCATTTTCTGAGGTTAACAACTTGTCTGGTTTATCACAGACTGAGCTATGAACATCAATTTCAATCCGAAGTAAATTCGGAAGGTTTCTGATATTTTCATATTTCACTTAAATTTTTGTTTCGTGGAATGCTGCACAGTGTCAAAGTTGTGACATTACTGTTTTTTACCTTATTTTTACTCTTGGACCTTTATATCTAACACAATATTGGAGAAGAGCATATTAGCTAGGATTAATAGTAGCTTTTAATTTTTTTTTCTCCTCCTTTCAAAATTTCATGATGGTGTTGATTTTGTTTTCATGTATCTTTAAAGGAGTTTATTTTATTAGTTCTTAAAGTTAAATCAGAAAATTAATGACTCTTCAAATAATAGTGGATGATTTGTCTTTGCATAACATTCTCAATAAGTATTAGTTATCCTAAAAAAATCAATAGCTTCTTCAGTATTAAATATGTATCTCAATGAATAGTTGGAGAATGTTGCTTCACTCCTAAACTTCACATACTTGCAGAAAACGTGAATGAGTATTGATGCAGTGATACTGTAGGTATATACATGTGGCATAACATTGTACTCACAACTGGGAATTGAATATCTACTTCCAAAGCCATGACCATCCTCAGAAGAAACACATTGATCAGGAAGCACCAGCGTTTAAATGGGAGAGATTATCTCATGAGCACAACACCATGTCTGACAGTCAAACCTCTAATTGTTTGGCTTATCTCTTACTGCAGGTGGCAAAATGATACTTTAATGGCAGCCTGTTGTGGTCAGGAAGAATACAGAATATTTAAACAGAGGCTTAATGTGCTTGCTGAAGTCAGCTAGTAATTACTCAGCACTTGGTTTATTTGTTATAATGGACAATGCATCCATTTGGGAGGCACAAAGCAAGGCCATTGGATCAGTAAGCTATTGTATAAGTTTGTGCAAGTCGTTCCATAAAAAAAGCAGGAGAGATGTGTTGATGTCATTTGCCCTTGCCAGGTGAAGTGTCACGAAGGAGCTGGTTTCAGTCCTGGTGGCGTCCTTCCCTCTGAAGTGAGAATGCATGCAGTTGCTCTGTCCGTGATTCTCTTTGTCCTGAATCTTGACGTCTCCCAAGGTGGGGGACTAGACAGCAGCAACAGGCTGTCCTGCCCAGAGTACCAGGAGGGCTTCGATAGCTCGTGTTACGAGTTTGTAAGTCTACAGCGTTCCTTCCTCAGCGCCCAAGGCTGGTGTGAGAGAGGTGGTGGACACTTGGTCTTCATCCTCAACGATGAGACTCAGCAGTTTCTACAGAAGCACCTTGTGCCAGATCGGGACTGGTGGATAGGACTTGCACGAGCCACTCAGAACCTCACCTTGGAGACCACATTTCCTGAAGGTAGGAGGCTTATCAGAGAAAAAGTACTTTTAATTACAGAAGCTTATGGTGATTTTTCTGGTAGAGTATTTTTACACACCAATACAATGGTAACTATGGCTGTGTAGTTATTTCCTTTCCATAGTGGAGTCTATTATCTTGTGAAATAGTTGCAAATTGTTATGCACGTGTCAGTGACGTACTGTACTACAACAGCCAGGTAGAACAATGTGAAAGAGCTAGAAGAAAAGAATATGTGATGCAGATTTAGTCAGGGGTGTTGGTGGGAGTGAGGTGTGCACCGTTCTGAAAAGGAAAATTATGATGTGAAAATTGTATCAGTGTTGCCAAATTTCTTCTACTTCAGAAAAGATGTATTGTAAGTACGAATTCATTTTAACGCGGCCATCTTTTTCTAACCCCATTTTGGTCACAAATTAAGCAAATAAGGGGATGAAAATAATTGAGAAGCCATAAGGACAAGGATTTTCTTTGCATTCTGATAACACAAAGAAGTTCACAGTTTTCAGTGAAATTGGGAGAGATATAATTGTATTATGGATCGGTGCAAAGACAACGAATCTGTCATAGCAGCTAGCAGGCTCTTGAGATTTATCATGGAAGTGACCAGCCAGCAGCAGTCTGGGATCTCAGATAAGTCATGTGATTTGTAATCAAGGGAAAGTAGAAAGCTCTTCCATTCAACAAGCTAAAAGTATCCTGTCCTTTCTAGTGATTGACTGTGGTGTCCTTTGTTATCTATACAAGAGGAAAGGCCAACCTCCTGAATCATTAGTCCTCCTTACAAACAAAGAATAGGCTTAATTTATGCACTTGGTATGTGTTCAGTATGTTATCATCTGATTCCGTTTCTACAAAATACTTCTGTAATCTTACATTGAGCTACCCCTTCTGGCATAGAAATATAATAAAAAACAGCACCAGGATTAATGCTCAGACATAACCATCCCACATCAGATGTTACTTTGTACTAAAATACAAAAAATGTTATTAAACCTATTATGAATGCTTTTCTAGGCATGATGTTTTGTCTTTTTAAACCACCTTTGAACTGTTGTTTTGAATGTTCCCTGAATCAGTGGTGCTGATCTTTTTCTAGCTCTCTTTGGTTCAACCTCTTCTTTTCTTTTCTTTTCTTTTCATCTACTGTTATCTCTCTGCTAGCTATTTCTGTAACCGTCTGTTCAAAACTGATTAATTGGCCACACTTTCAGACTTTTAATTCTCCTGCTGCGCTGCAGTAAAATGATTCATTATAAGTCACATCTAGATTTTGCTCAGTAGAAACAAACATTGATGACAGATTAATTGCCTGATTGGTTAATTGACATTATGTGGACCATGTGCATTTATGGATTTGCAGCATACCTTTGACTCATCAATTAATTCTATAAAACAGATGATGTCATAAAAGAGAAATGCCGTTATCACTGACTGATAAACACATCTGGTTCTCATTTTTGAACGTGTGAGTGAAGCACGAGGTGTTAAATACGCACGCTTTTCTGCAGGCCCACTCTCCTGGCTGGATGGCTCTGATGTAAGCTATGCCAACTGGGAGAAGGAGCCCCAGCCTGGCTCTCACTGTGGGCACATTCTGAAGGACTCTGGGTTCCAGTGGGAGGCTACCAGCAACTGCAGCAGAGAACTCCACTTCGTCTGTGAGTTTGGTGAGTCCTGGTCATGCTCTATCCTGATCTGTCAGAAACATGATTAAAACTCTATTCCATATGCAGAATTGTGCTCTGTAAGGACTGCTGAAGAAACAGGGAGATTCTTCTTCCAACAATGTTATCATGAACACACCTGTTCTGCTGCTGTTCTTTACCTTAAATCATTGTTGTCAAATGCTGGTCCTACAGGGACAAGGTTCCAAGTTTGATGATCAACAAAATCAAAACATCCCTGATGCTTAAATGCAAATATTAGAAATCTGACTTTGCGCAACTCTATTTTCTCTGTGCCAACCCCACATACTGCTTTTTTATGCAGCAGTTGTAGGAAAACCAAACAGTCAATGTGTTTTGTATAAATGTTAAGCAACATCATGAGTTTGGCATTTATTCACTGTGTCCTGAAGATCTTTGTTTTTTTAACTCGTCTTCTGTTAAGTATCGTTATTTTTTTTCCAGAGTTTGGCCGCTCCCTGGCCTGTGCAGATCACAATGCTACACTGCAGTGTGGCTCTGGTCGGGTCATCGAGATTGACGATAGCTTCTATGGCAGGAAGACTGTGCATTACTGCAGGCTGCCCACTCCTCTGCCCACCCCCTCACTGCAAGAGGAGTGCAGCTGGGTGGATGTGCTTGATCTAGTAGCAGGTGAAAAAACAATCAAACAGTGACTGCATTATAACCAGTATGTCACACAAACACTGTACCCAAAAGCTCGGCAAAGATCCTGATAGAATGAAAAGCTGCTAAAAGCCTTTTGAAATTCAATGCCGTTTTTAGTAATGTCGCTCGGTGGAAATGAAATACCTGAGACAAAGGCACTTCTTGCAAAAGAAACTACAATGGTCCCACCAAGACTTACCCATCTTATCCTCACAATGACAACACAATGACTGGGCTCACCTTAGAACACAGTTTCTGTTAGAAATCTTGCTTTTACTTGCTTTTTGGTATGCTTTACCCTTTTAGAAAATGCTGTGAATTATTTATGTTTCTTCTGCTGAGTTGACAACAAAGGGTCTCATATTTCATGGTTTTTCAAACTGTTTCATCCAATTCAGGGTTGTGGAGGAGCTGGAGCCTATCCCAGCAAGCAATGTACACAAGGCAGGGTACACCCTGGACAGGACACCAGTCCATTGCCGGGCACATACAGACACAGACACACACCAGAGTTAATTTTCCCAGAAGCCAATTAACCTACAGTACCAGTATGTTTCTGGACAGTGGGAGGAAGCCAGTACACACACTCTAACACAGGGAAACCCACACAAACAATGTAGTTTGTATACAAAGCTTAGTGCTCTTTTGTATTTCTGTGTTAGCTTAACAACAATTATTTTATATATGCCTTTAGTGGCACATCAAGGCTCTGGACAATACGACAACGTCTTCACTGTGCATTTAACTTTTCAGTAAAATATAACAACATGGGCTGACTAGAGTGTAATAATAAACCTGACTTGTTAACTTCACATTTGTTTTATAAAAATGACTCTGATATTTGCACAGACTGCAAATGTAAAGGGATCTAAATAATATATATATACTTTAGGACAGAATCTCAGAATTAAAACTACCCCATCTTTTGTGTTACCAGGGCACTGTCATGGGTTACAGGTGTGCCAGGCCACTGCTGATGTGACTACATTTGGAGAGCCATGTCCAGGGCTTGGAAGTTACCTGTCTGTGGAGTACCACTGCAGAGAAGGTGAGCGTCTCCTGAACCTGCCTGGTTCTGGTTCCCACAGCTGGGAGAGAGGAGGGCTGTTATCCCTGCTGTGTCCTCCTGGCTGAATGCCAGTAGGCCTGTCTACGTGACATGGCCCTCAATCATCTCCTGAACTTGAAAAAACCTGTTGGGCTTTTTTCTCTTATCTCACACATGAGCAGCCTTTACCCTACTCTAACTCATGTGAGGTAGCATAAAACAAAGCGTAGCCATTAAATGAGTCTTGGGTTTCGTAACAGTGTGTGGTGGTGTCCCTAATATGTTAAATATACAGAAAATAAAGCCCCCAAAAAGCTTAACATACCATTATAAACAGTGGAAACTGTTACTGATACACTAACATAATAATATTAAATACCTTATTTATTTACCCCCGAAACGATATTGAAATAAGAATTCAATCTAAAGCTTGCAAGTGTTGAATAAACACAGGAAAAAGAATTATGTACATTCAACAAATGTGTGGTCATCAGCTTCACTTGGTCTCAGGCGGGTCTGTGATTAGTTTGTGACTGGGACTCTAAGGTCTTCAGCTGCTGGTGGGAGATCTGGCTGCTGTCTTCGAGAACGTCACCATCTCCATGAAGTGGCTGCTATTCCCCTTCTCTGGAAATCTGTCCTGCTGCCTGAGCACTGGGGATGGGCACACTATCGACACCTATAAGCCAGAAAAGTGAGTAACGCCACATGCATTTATTTCCAGTTGCGTTGATCTTTAACCCTCTGTTGTATTTACAACCTGTTCTGCCTTTTGCCTGCTTCTGAATCTCTAAATCAGACTTGCAGATTGCCCTTCATATACTTACTGTACCTAACACAACAAACATTTACCTCTATCCGGTTGTCTTCTTCGAAACCTAAACCTTCTTCTTTCTGGAGCCCCCTTGCTTTGAGATCTGAGGTTCGTCAAGATCGACACACTTCTCGGCAGTCATACATTTTTTTCCAATTGTTTGAACTTTTGAATAAAGTTAAAGCTGATAGTTCCAAGCATTTAATACAAAAAAAAAATCATTTTTATTTCAACACACTGTGTAAATGATACCCATATTTCTATATGAATTCCTGAGTTATGCCAGATCATGAGAGTAACATTGTATGTTTTGACACTTCTATCCCTGTGCTTAGGTTAGAGAGTAGTGTCATTCACAGCTACACTCACCCAGGCAGCTACCTGATCACCGTGGAGTGCACTACTAGTGAGTGGCACGTGACAGCGCAGAGCTCCGTCACCATCCAGGAGCCAATCGGCAAGATCGGAGGCGTCAGGTGCTACAGCATGAACCAGTCAGGAGACGCCACCCACTGCAGAGCCCTTTATGGGAGTGAGTTAAAAATCCAGGTGGAACTAGAAGCAGGTGGGAAGTCTATGTTCTTTTAAGATCTATTTTATTCACTTCATTTACCCCCCAACCCCTCCCCTCCAACACACACACACACACACACACACACACACACACACACACACACACACACACGTATATGGAATGCATGTATTTTGACAGGTCCTATCATCATTGCTTGTTTAACCTACATCTCCTCCAATATTCCCAGGCACTAATGTCACCTACCGAGTCCAGTCTGAGGGGGCTCTGCTAGCAACAGCAACAGTCATGAGAGCCGTCACCCCTCACAACATCAGTATTGGCTCAGAAGCTCCCCAGCAGCTGGGCCCAGGCTCCCACTGGCTCACTCTCCTGGCCACCAACGGCGTGACGGCTTCAGAGGTCTCCATGAGCCTTGAAGTCCTGTTCACAGAGCCACTTCTGGGGCTGCAGGCTTCCATCGTTTCTGAGAAGCTGTTAGCCCAGGGCTCAGACCTTCTGGTCACTGCCTCTGTGTCCCAGGGATTTCCAGTACAGCTGCATTTTAAGATTGCTGGCACAAACGAAAGTTTCTCTGATAGCAGACAAATGGATAATGACCAACATCGGGTTTTCAACATCCCTATGAGAGGCGAAGGTAACTGTTTAGCTACATTTACAGTACCTCCCTGCTACTGATATAACCATTCAGTCAACAACTTGTACTTAAGTTAGGAATTGTAGCACACAAATCGGTTTATCCAACACTGAGGATATACTTAAACATTAAGTTCCCTAAAAAGATAACGAAAATGTGCAGGAAATACTGTGTATGATTTTTATATTTTATTCCAAAAATACGTCAATTTTTTGTTCTAATCGTGTTGTCCAACAGTCTATTTTAAGTCTATCAAATCGAGGATTTATGTCCATCTGGTATGATCAGCTATGAAAACGAAGTCTTGATCATAAGACATGAAACAAGACGAGAATATGTGAGTAACACAGCGTTTATCTTGTCTTTCTGTCAGGTACCTTTCGAGTGGTGGTGATTGCTTCAAATGGCTTCTCAGAAATGGACCTGGATTTGGGAGATATAACTGTTATTTCCAACACATCTGAACCACATTTAGGTACACCAGCTGCTGTTTTTCAGAAAGGTTAAGAATGTCTAACTGGTTATATAAGAGGTTTCTATAATAGAATAATTATAACTTGGATTGCGGGGGAGAGAATGATAGAATATTGTTTTGACCAAGAGATTAAGACTTTTAACTACAATGCTGAAAACGCTCCTTGAACATTTTATTGGATGCTGATGTTTGCATTTGGAAAACCACATTTCTTTTTAAATTATTTTTTATTAAAAATTTGCCTTCCAGACTCCAACATAAAGGAAAAGATGGATCTGAACCATGACATGGTGAGACTGCTTGCAGTTACTGTATATCTGGTCATAGCATTAGAGTCTTTATATTATTGGTTAATGGGGTGATAATTATTGTATTATTTGGATATTGGTTACATTTTCAGTTATGTCTTTTTCTACATACTCGGTTCCAAAAAACATTTTGCTTGCAGAGTTTGTGTAAATACACTTTGCTTTGTCTCAATTCCAAGGTCATTTCAAGGTGCACACCTGCTGGAGATAACTAGAATATTTCTCACTCCACAGTTTACAAGCTGATCTAATGTCATCAATATACAGACAGTCGCTCAAAAATGACCTTACAGCAGTGAACAAACCTTTGCCTGCAGCTTTGCAGCCTAGGCACACTGACACAGCTACCTACTCGAATGTATCTCAGAAGCGTCCAAAAGTGGTTGTCCATGTGTGATACCAAGTGGGAAGATTGTTTCTTTGTCCACTTTTATTATGTCACCACTCTCTGTTCGTCTCCTCTACAGCTTGACAAAATACTGGAACATGTCAGAAACCCCTCTACTGTGCAGCACCAAAATCAGGCCCAGTTGTCAATTCAACAATGGCAGCAACTCTTTCCTTACCCACTATCATTGACAGTTTCGATGGCAGAGGGGTCAAATAACCTCATGTCAATGAGGCATGAAGCATGGTTCTGGGTGAACTAGGGGCCAGCTAAATTAAACAGTGCTGAATAACATCAACAACATGTGCCTTTAATATATGAGGAACTTCTTTCTTTCCATGAATCAACAGTGTGCAGCTGTAATCTCTAGTAATGGCTGACACGCCTATTGTCCATACTTTGCATTTAGGGTGATGTCAGTTATTAACAACACACTGCAGCAATGGAAACAGAGTCTTGTGGTTCTGTGGCCAAGTAAGTTATTACATTAGTTTGCTACAAGAGGCCGTCAAAAACAAAGACTCAAATAATTTTTTTAAGTAGTCTTGTATGAGGTTGTGCTAAAACATTTTAAAAAACAGTCAGAAAAAGTACTGGATCTTAAAAACAGCCATATTTGAAGAGGTTTATGTTCTCCTGAAAGATAATTATTTAGGACAATATTTTGGAAATACATTTAATCTGATCTTGTTTCCCTCATAATTTCATAATTAAAATAATTGTAAATTTTAAATGTTGAAATACAGGTCACTTTTTAAACTTTTGTGGAGTTCTGACATTTATCAAAAGAAAAAAAAACTGTTCTAAGATGCTGGGTTTTGTCTTTTGTCAGTGAATAATTTATTTGTGTTTGAATGGATACTTGATTCCATTGTGTGGTTTTGCTGTCATTTCTAACAGACTGAAGAACATTCTAACACGAGAGTTGTTCGTGACAATGAGAAACTTTATATAAATCTGGATAATAAAATGCCAGTGAAGATGGGCACGGAGATTACTCTGGAAGCAGACAAATTTAAAGGCAATGACAACGATTACAACTTCATATGGAACTGTGGTGCGTGGCATAGTGATTTTCAAGTATTGGAAATAGTTGTTTTTTATTCACTCATATGGAAGAATACAGCCTTGAACTGATCAGTTCCACAAGTCTTCTCATCAATTCTTATTCAATCTTTTGTTTCAATACAGCTGCCAAATGCGTGACTGTCAATAAAATATCTGAAAAGAAAGTCATGTTTGCAGTTCTGTGTAACGTGTCCTTTGTTATGTCTCAGTGGGAGGATGCAGGGAGGTGTTGAAGCCCTGTGGCGAGATTATGGACACTAACAGTAAGGAAATTCAGCTTCCTGGAGACTGTTATCCAGTCCCATTCACGGTAGTTGTTGTCAGTGTGACACTGAAGAATAAGAAAGATGGAAGTAATCAAACTGCAGAAAACTGTCTTGCTGTCACCGACAATGGAAGGCTCAATGTAAAAATCAGGTCAGTGCAAACTGTGTTTGATATCTAACACCATTCTTCATCCCTTAACAGAGACATAACACACCCACCTCATTTTTTGTCCCTTTCTTATTGATTTTGTTGTTCTTATCAATTGTTCGATTTTGTGCCTTGCTTATGTTTATAGCTGTATAGAGTAAGAAGTAAAAAAAAACTACACTTTCAAACATAATATGCAGTCCTATCCTGTACTTTACCAAGTCTATAGTTTCAACAGTTTTTACAAATGTCAAAAAGATACAGTATATGCCATCTTTTTGTAAACAGGTTCGGGGCACAGCACCGCACTGCGGTGTTCATTACCGCTGAGTGCTGAAACCGCAGTTAAAAAGACAGTTTCGTATTTGAATGCATTTTCCTCATTATTCACCCGTTTCTTTCCAGTTGCGAGGAGAACTGTGATGGAGTGGACAGCAGGAAGGATGTGCGACTGAAGCTGATATGTAGTCGTTGTCAAGAGATTACATGGTATTACGCCAATCCACAGAAGGAATTAGTAAGTAAAATAAGACTTGTGCTTTTTATTCTCTTCCATCAAAATGTAGGCAAATACATTTATATTTGTTACATCATATATACAGCATATGAATTTTGGTGTATTTAAATATTTGTCAATTTGATTGAGTGTTTGACAAAGTACACTTGACATTTATTCTACCAAGGAGTAAGAAAGCTGCTTAATAGATGTGCCAATCATGGCTAACAGTAAAAAAAATTAACACAATTTCCCTAGTCTTGCAAAAGTTTTTTGAATTTTTTTTCAGCATCTTAGCAAACATTTTCTCAGTCAGAAAGGCAGAAGATTGTATAATGTATGTGCCTTACAATGAGAAGTAAATATTTTCACATGCATATAGGTACTAGTGCTGAGCAATGCATTGTGCCTTGATATGGTATACAGCGTTCAGAGAAAATAGAGACCCAGAGAAAAAAACTGTAAAACAGATCCTAGGTTTAAAGAGTTAATTCATTACAGTCATCACTTGGGAAAATTAACAAAAAAAATAATATTTTATATTTGTTTGTTTCTTACAGGACATTCCAAAGGACTGTGGTATCAAATCCTCATTTTCCTTTGACCCGATAAATGGAGCAAAGGAAAATTACTTGGTTGTGAACAGCAGTTCCCTAGAAAAAGCTATAGGGAGTATAACAGTGAGAGCCTTAGGTAGGAAAAAAAAGCCATATAATTTGTGAATAATTTAACTATAACGACTATTGCTATTAATAGTGTCATGGTGAGATATAATTATCACATCGCCATATTTAGCACTAAACAATGCTTTGATTGTAATCATCATTTCAGTTAAGGGGAGGAAAGAACATCATTTATTTTTAGTGAAGAACATCATGTCATATGAGGCATGATTTTTTGTACATGATGGTCATGCCTACCAGTACTTACTGTATACTCCTTAACAATTATTAATTCTGCTTTGGCATAAATGCATTTTTGACCCTGTAGAATGACTTAATTGTAAAAATTCACTTCTTACTGACAGCATAAGAAAGCAGAAGAAAAAATATACATTTTCTGACATTTGATTACACAGTCAATTGATGCAGACAAAGTTAAACTTAGCTTTAAAGTGGTTTTAAAACTGGCTCCAGTTAGGCATTAAAAGTCCTTTAATACATGTGCTTGTCATTAAGTTAAGTGATTAAATGTTCCTGTATGTCTTCTAGCTGTATGTAGCGTACAAATATGCTAAAGTGATTATAAATTACTTTAAAATAAAATGACCATTTCTTTATGTGCAAACTCTTCCCTTTCTTGATTTCCACTCTTGTCCATCGGTCTTTGTATCACAAGTTCTCAGAATAGACTGTCTTAATTTTTTTTCAGTATTTTCAATTCCTGCAAAAAGTCCTTTCACAGTCTCTAATGTTCAAGATCAGTTCCTATAAGAGGAATGTGTATAGCTCCTTATTAAAGACTCCTCCCTGTTTTTGAAATAATTCTAAAGTAGAAATGCCTTATTTCCATTGTAGTGACAAAAAGTGTACACACTATTCTAAATGAGGCCTTCCCAGTGCATCACTCAGGGAGTGTAACTCTCCAGTGTTTTCTACCTTCCTCAGGTGTCTCTGGTACTGATTCTGGTTCTGACGATTACACCATCAGCCTGGATAGGAACACCCCATCATCTTCTACAGGTGCCAGCAACAGTTACAGTACAACATCTGCTGCAGGAGCTGATAACAGATACAGTGCAACATCTGCTACAGGAACTGGTAACAG